AATGTTGTAATTCTAGACTATATTTGCTAAGGTCTAAGACGATTTGCGATCAACATATGCTTTTGTCTCGTTAAGAAAAAGAACAATAGTAGGAACAATTAAAGCACTTATCATACTTAAAGGTTGATATGAAGCAATCAATGATTGAAGATCGCTACCTCGGGTGAACAATGCGATCCGTAACCCAGATCGGTGTTTTACGACCGTAATTCTGCCGTATACAATTTACTTATGGCATGCATACGGCAAAATCACGGTCGTAAAACACTGGCCTGGTTTACGACGAAGAACGGTACATAAACAGTACAAATACAGTCGTATACGGCCCGTATCTGGTGACTGTATTCAATCACGCGAGTCAGTGATGGACCTGCTTTTTTTGTTAAGTCTAGTGAAATTAATTTTTTGTCAGACTTCGTACGTTTTTTATGTGAAGTTCATAAGAAATTAATAAAAGGTTATTGAAAACCCTTCTTAATAGAAATTAATATAAAGCACTAGGTATCGATTGGATATAATAAACTGGATAAAAACCGGCGAAAACCAGAGGTTTTTGAATGGTTTGGATTACTTGGGTTTCTCCGTTTTCAATATGCCATTTTCCAGTAGGTCATAATATTAAAACTATACACTTGAATATAAAAAGAGAAATAGAAAAAAATATGTATTTTACTCGGTATCTACTAAGACAGAGATTTTTTTGCAAGAGATGCTAGTAACAATTTATTATATAACAAAATAATAGAGATAGTGTTTTGTATATGAATCTGTGATAGTTACACAAATTTACAATAGAATGAATGTAAAAATAGACATTGACGCAAGGCTTTTCATAGAAAATTTTCATATTCTGTTTTTCATTTATTCATAATATTTTACACGAATATGTCGCCCATTATCAAAAAATAATTACTTTTAGCATCTCGTCGAGTTATATCAACTACATATATGTTCACTGATCTTTGTCAAGGGAAAAACATTTTCTTTTAAATTAAATCTTTCGTTTCACTAATCTGTATTCTTGCCATCATTCTTTCAGTAGTGCCAAACTTGAAACTTGAATTCAGTTGAAAAATAGAAAAATTTCAACTTTCAACTCATTGTGATGTATATATGAGTCACGATTCTTCAGAATGCTGTTGGTTTAAAAGTTGAAAATTGAAATTTTCAATTGGATTCAAGTTTCAAGTTTGACATACGTATATGCATTCTTTACGGATTCTTGTTTTTCTTGATAATCGGCCAAGAGTCTTTTTTGCATTTCCCTTCAAGTAATAATCTTGTTTCCTTTCCTGTCTAGAGAATCGTGCCTGACCCCGCAAGATTGAAAAGAATCTTGGCTGATTTACAAGAAAAACAAGAATCTGGAAAGAACAATGGTAATAATGTCGATTAGTGCTACTTTGTGCACATATACGGCTAGTTTAGAGCAATAGAAAAACCTCTTGCAGTTGGACAACCTGAGAAGAGTCAAAATTCTTTTGCAAAATATCTCTTCAACATGAAATGTTTGCAAACGAACGCTGTTCTCATCAGGCGATAAGCTAAGTCCTTCTATATATTTAATTTCTCTGCATGATGGAATCTCATCATCACGAGCACGTTCGTGTTTGAAAACCTTCAGAACTTCTCGGAAGCCTGATTTCTGAGTATAAGATAACTTTTACAAATGAGTAATACTGCTATAATTGAGACAAATCTGTAGCCACATGCAACAAAAACCCGCACACACTACCACTTTGAACGATCGACCAAGTTTTCTACCAAGAGCATTTAGATTAAATTTACCTTTGGGAATCACACGCGACACGGCTTAACCAATTCCGGATCGTAGCGACTCTTTTCTGAATACTCACACTTATGCACTTGAGCTCTCTGAAGTATTCTTTCTTTGTTGTTCATTCTGTTGAAAAAGGTTTACTATCACTATAATGTATTTTGACTTTTTCGGTATTTAAGTTCGTTATTTGATTGCGATGAGTCGAATAATAAATGAGTTTCAGCAATGAAACGAATCTTTAGCGATATCATTCGCTCAATTTAGTATGTTTGTATTTATTGTGAGATATTTCTAGAAAATGCTTTCTCACCTGTATACTGTTATGGTATTTAACATGCTTACTCATAAGAAAGCTGTCAGCCATACATACATGAATTATTGAACCATCAATATGTAACACCATCTATCATCGAATTGATTTTGCTTTCCATTATTGAGGTAAACATCAAAGAATTATGGCTTTCTTCGATCGATGGATCACTCTAAAAAATGCCATCAATCTTACAAGAAGCCCTAGTCGAACTCTTTTTTCAAGCGATTGAGAAGACTTGAGCTCAAGATGTGCCCATAGCGCATGACATTCTTGCCACAGACAAGCCCTTGAACGCTTGCGTGAGTCATGTGGACAGATAAATGAACTCATGCGCAGGACTCGTGTAAATCACATGATTATTCGAGAAAAAACCAGCTAGAATTGAATACTCGAACATTTTCTACCCTAGATAATATGATGATTTTTTTCTGAAATTGTTAAATATAGTTACTATTTAAACTGTCTCTTTGTTTTCCGTCGTTAAGTTTTTGTTATTTGAATATGCGTTTTTATTATAAATCGGGCTATTTTTAACATAAAGTTGAAGAAAAAAGAACAAACATCATTTATAACTTTTAATTAAAACTAGTCTCACACGAAAGAAATTTAGTTGTTGTCTTTGTGTCAGTTGATAGAATCCGTTGAACTAGTATTTTCACCAGCTTGTGATGGAGAGGTGCCAGTGATGGTGGTCTTCGAAGTTCGTATTGCTTTTAAAATATTATTACGTTTATTATCGTGCTTCATTTGTCGTACTGATTCTTTAACTATTTGCCATGTTTCTTCCAATGCTTCTTCGTCAACATCTAAACGTTTATCTCGTTTTTTCAAAGCATCTATTGTGACTAACATAGAGAGTGTGGCCTATGTCCGTCGGCATGATGGTGTATTGTGTCATCTGCGCATCTCTAGTCGTGCATTTCCTTTACTTACATTCCCTTATATACGCGAGAATGATCACGCTTGGGCGGATATAGACAAAGAGGGAACGGTCACGCAATAGAACAATGAGAGTTCATCAAGTCAATGCACAAACATAAGATACAGCGAAGAGGGTAAGGTACATAAAGTGAGCCGTAACGGTAAATACCGTTACATCTATAAGGAAAAAATCGATTAATATTTTATTCGTAGATTAGTAAGTACCTAATTTTAAGTTCTGTTACCATTTGTGCGTTCGACAACACCGCATTTGGATTATATGCATAGCCAGCAAGATGGAAAACTTGTCGAATGAATCGAATGTGTTCATCGAACTCGAACATGAGCTTACTCACATCAACACCAAGAACAATCTAAAACAGCAGAATTGCATTTAATTAATAGCTGATTTTTTTCACTCACTTCAGGATCTGGTGGTAGTACTGGGTGAGCTGCCAAATCGATGATGTTCATTAGATTTTTATTATAAATTTCAAATATTATATATCTAGATTGAAACAATCAACATCGACATACCTCTTTCAAAATTTTACTACTCTTTAGAATACGAAATGTTTTTCCTAATACCTTCAGTCGATTATCGACCTTATACTGCTTTTCATTGGTGTTTACTTATGCATTGTTAACGTTAAGAAGTTGATGACCAGTGCCATCTAATCAAGTGAATGACTGATATATGGAAAAAAAAGTATATATATTTCTGCTGCACGAGCGTAATTCATGCGCTTGAGCCAGAAACAAAAATACTTGAATAAAAATTCAAGTACATGCAGTACAAATGCCAAGCGCATTAGGTTAAAAAAGGCCTCATGTCTTGCCTCAAGATGTATTCATAGTTCTTGACTTTCTTGAGCAAGAAAGTCAAGAGTTGTATGCGCTTGCAAAAAAACGTTTGACTAGGGCGGCTTTCCGTTTATTGTCTGATTTTGATAACAATTAAACGTGAGAAGCGTCTTATTTTTTAGACACATGAATTGAAAAAAAGAAAAATACATCATCGTCTTTCGTAATGTAATTTCTTGTCTATATCGTTGGTTAGTCACGATGCCCCACGACTAAAGTACTTTTCTTATTGCTAGTCGTTTACTAATTCTTTTCATTCATTTTATTTGTTTATCTCACTGTAGATGTTTTTTTAATATTTTAGATCATCTTCTTTTTGTGTACTGATCAGCGGCATCAATTTATTATTTTATATTAAATAACAACAGTGAGTTTAGCTTTATTTCGTTTGAAAAATCATAATTACATGTGTAAATATTCTTTTTATGAATTTTCAATATTGTTATATAGTTTAGATGTCTTCAGCTACAACAGTTTCATCTATCCATCCTCGAGAAGTATGGATTAAAGAAGAAGGTTGCAGCCACGTGTGTTTAATCATTGATCCCCAGACAAAAATAATTGAAGATATTAAACGATTAGTATTGGGTGATTCTCGTAAACATTACCAGGCTTTTTATCTTCAACAACTTCTAGCAGAAAATGTAGCTATTCCAACTGATGTTTCCTTCGAAAATCCCATCCAATTAAACCGTATCATTAATCGTTCTTGTAAGTACTTTTTCTGCTGCACCGGTAAATAAATGACTTACTTCTTTTATACTGTAATATTTTTATTTTTAGCTATTCCATCAAATGAATACGATAGTGATGCTCTTATGAATCTTCAATTTGAAAGAACTGATGAAAGAAGAACAAGCACCTTGCTCGACAACCGTCAACAACTATATCAATGCAACAAATACATGGGCAAATGGCAAACAAATTGCTTGTATAGAAGTATTTTAATTTATCTTTTCAAATCTACATTTTAAGAAAAATAATTTCTTCAGTTTTTCTCCACTATTAAAAAGTGGACAGAATTTTTGGTAGAAAAATTTCACCATAAAAAATATCTATAATAAGTAATGAAGAAAAAATGTTCGAATAAGGTACTATGGGGAAAATATAGATTTTCTTTCAACAGACAATTGCTGAGATGAGTAATAAGAAAGATTTCCAACGAGAAATCATTCTTCGATTCTCCTCAATATCTTTTTCAAATGAATTTTTCTATCCAGTATTTGTGGTTCAAGATTTGAATATCATAAATAGTTTGCAATACATAGTTATAGTAGATTAAGTTAGTTCAAATACATACGATATTTTGTTTGTATGACCGAGTTCTTTTTATGATAATTAGAACAAAATAAATGACAATTTTACTAAACTATTGTATTCTCTGCGCTTTGCTTCAGCCGCGAAGATGCTCTGTTATTTCAACAATACAATCTTATTAAAATTAAAACCATTTTCCTGTCAGGTTAATTAGAGTAAGATTACAAACGAAGCATTCATTTGGACATGAATATTCTATGAAGATATGGACGTTTATTAGATGAGACTAGTAAAATATGACAACTCTTCAGAACAATAATGAGTTAAACGTGAATAATTGAAAATGTACTAGAAAAAGTATTCTTCAGAAAGGAATATAGATATTTTACAAGTGACAATGAATGATCTCGATGACTTGGAAGTTTCTTAAAGAGCTTACTAATGTTCGATAAACACATTAATATGAAATTCAGCAAAATGTGCTTCATTAATAGAATGGCATCTGAATATGTGTGAGAAAAATTTCATAGTAAAAGCGAAATCGTACTAACCGAGAAGAAGCCGTTCTTCGATGCACATCTTCTGCTCTGAAATACGAGCCTTATTTCAATAGACATTCTATACTGTTGTTGAAAATCGTAGCTTTTTCAAAGCCTAATGCTAGTATAAGAATTGAAGTCTTATCAGATGCTCAGATTTTTATGCTTTAATGGCCAAAACATACGAGAGTTATGTATGAAAAAACAGTATATCAATCTGACAGATTGTTGAGCTACATCTGTAGAAGAAAAACATTTTCCTCATATATACATCATATATTTATGTTTCTGACAAGTGATTTTCTTATACAAGCGCAGTTGTGTATATTTCACTATGTGTAGATAATCCAGATGGAGCCAATAGCATTGGTAGTAGTCGTGATTGCTTACTCTCGACTGATACTTCTTCTGGCACTTGGACATATCATAGGATGCTGCGAGAAGCGGCAAGCTATGTATGGCGTCGCATGAGTAATGGAAATGCCACTTCGTACAAATCAAAATCTGAATAGGGGTATAGTATGAATGTACTTGTGCTTCTTGTAGTTGATGTATTTTTTAACGCTTGCACCTTAATTGTTAGTGGCTTATGTTCAAACATGACTGCTTATTTCTCATTTTATCCTGCTTTCTTCTATGTATTTTTTTCAATATGTGTAGTATGTGTACATAATGCAACAAAGTATTATGCTGCTGATGTCGTACTACCTTTTTCGCTTACTCATATTTTTGACTAGCCGATTCATGCTCTTAAATGATACAGAAGAACGATGCCTGAGAATGTATATCTTCATCAAATAGAAGAAAGCAATTAATCAACATCATATAGTATACCTGAGTCTTATGAATAATGTAATCAACTACTTAATATGTATATGTGGCGGGTATATTTATAAATTTATGTCAACTTGGTTGAATACACCATGGCGTAATAAGTCCTTACAACAGTTGAAACAAAGTTTTGATGTCCGACAGACTGAATGAAATTGATATAGATTTTGTATAGCTTTATGGTGACTTGGAATGTTGAGTGATTTTTATCGGTTGTGCAGAAAGGTATCATTTGATTACACATTATCCATGATGCTAACCTTAGGTTTTTATGTATTCGCCTTTTATGAGTGATAGCTAGGGTAAAATGGCCATTTTCTGATATTCTACTTGAAATCACACAGCATTACAATATTTTTGACTATTTTTACGATAATATGTCTACTTTTTGAATCTGCGACGTGCGGTGCCTTCGACTTTTGAATAATTTTACAGATGATGAGAGGCGAACACATACTTAATTTCATTGCCACAGAAAAAGATTTTCCCGAATGGAACAATAATGAGAAAATCCGCTAGAAAAAACTGAACTCCCTTTTCATGTAGAATGAGCATATCACTACGAATACTTCATAATCACGAGCGAAAAATACTGAGTCTCACTTCTGTTTCATGTCACCGAACGGAATAAACTACCTGCAATGATCTTAACACAGAGATATCGTATTTGTGAAAAAGCACTTGTATACAAAAATGAATTTAAGAAATCACCAGTCAGAGTATAAAAGTTCAGACGACCTGACTAATCTCACCTTCCTAATATTATTAAAAAACCGTTCCATGGTCTCGTTATAGATACATCTTTCACATGTGTAATACAGCTCTTCTTTTTGTTTTAGGGCTCGTTGGTCTCTTTTTGTTCATCATTGTCATGTGAGTATAATTGAAGTTATCAGTATTTTGTTTCATTTCTACCCCACTTACCAATTCAATGTCCAGCAGATTCATCTAAAAGAAAACTAGAGCAGATAATTAGTTGTGAACAATAAGATAGCGAATAAAGCCATGATCATGTTAGAAGACTCTGAATCTTCTATTCTGTCTTATTTTTCACCAGTTACAAGAGGAATCGTATATTATGTCTTTACAAAAGTCATCTTTTTCTGACACGCAATGATATAATTTTTATACAAGTCTTTTTATGCTGGTTATGTTGTTAGTAATTATTTATTTTACTTTTTCTCCGTTGTTAAAGTTAACAGAAATCAGTCTATATTCTTTTACAAATGAAAATCTCATACTACTAGTATCTTTATTATAATAAGTACGTATACTGGTAAAAAAATGACTAATTAACCTCCTTCTCAAAACAAATAAAGTCATTTGGAATAAATTCCAATTTCCCCTGCTATTTTGACTGAGTGTTCATAATAGCCCCAATAATACTCTATGGCTTTGAAGAATTGAATTTGATTCTCGTGAAAATAAAGATTTCATAGAGCTCAATTCAGCTTTTAAGGGAAAATCTTAAGAAGTCCCCAGGTTGATCAAAACGGACTCGTTTACGGTCTGTTTATCGATGGTAAACGATGTCAAAACGGTGTATTTACGGCAGTAAATAGACCGTATTTGCCCGTAATACCTGGCGCAGTAATACGGCACCGTAAACGGCACTGAATTTTCATGGTTTACAGCTGTTTGTGCTCCGTACTCTCATGATCATACGGTCCGTATTACTGCGCCAGATATTACGGCAAACTTTCGCCCGTAAAATAGTCGTAAAGTAACCGTCAACGGCCGTATACGGACCGTACTGTTCGACCTGGGTCACTAAATTACACCAAATTTCAATAAGCTATAGTTATTTTCTTTTCTAAATTTAAGTGAAATTGTTGATCAAATTTACCGTGTTTTGGTTTTAACTGAGCAGTTCAATTTTTCTTTTAAGTAGACTTTTTAAACTAAAATTGCACATGATACACACGTTCATATTCTCTCCACATATGGATAGAAAAGATTTAAACATGGAATCGCAATTGATTCATTTAAAACGACCATAGTTTTCGTTTGTTTTTGGTTAGCGAGGAAAGATTTGAAAGAGAAAGTCTCCCAAAACTAGAGAGAAACAGTTTTGCATTATATTTTTTTCAGAAAAAGATATATTATTAGCTAGAATTTGTAAGGGTTTCTTATTCAATTAAGAAAATATTTTTTTGCTGTTTTCTTGTAAATAAATATGTGGAAAAAAAGATTAACGAGAAAAAAATTGTTTTTCTAGTCTTAACTTTTTACATTCATAGCTTCTAATTTCAAAGTTAATGCTCTTGGAAAAATTATTTCATGGTTTTCCTATCACTCATCATCGCTATCGTCACAATTGTTTTGAATGTATATATTGATATGGCGAGCTTTTGCTCTTCCTGGATGCATGAAAAAGTTTTGAACAATATCATCTAAATAAAATAGATCAATATAAAAAATAGTTCGGACTTAAAGAGAAAATAAATTGATATGAAAGAGAAAATAAATTAATATAAAAGACAAAGTAGTTTGAATCTAAAGACAAAATGGATCAATATAAAAGAGAAAATAAATTGGTATAAAGGAGAAACTAGATGATTGCCTTTAGTAGACTTTATTCAGTCTACAAAGTCGCGAAGAAAATTCGCAGGGAGAAAGCTATATAAATGTAGCGAGAGAATGTAGTTTATCTCGATCAAATAAATCTGTCTAATCTAATAGAATAAAATCTCAATAAATAAAATATAATCTTAGCAGTTCATAATAAATTTAGAAGATTGTTTTTGTATGGATTCTCAGTATTACAAATGATCTCCATTTGTTGATTGTAATGAGTTTCACAAGGGAATATTTATCAACGTGGGCAAAGTTTTACGGTATCCGGAATTTTGTACCCTCAAATATTTAATCGACTGTTGAATTTTACAATGATTTGTTGATTTTTATTTTAGGTGGATAAATTTCGGCTTTAACAATTGGGTAGCTAAATTGAACCCGTGTGAATGCAAGCTTCCACTCACGCCATGAACAGTTCGTTGTGTAAGTGTTCATCAAAAATTGTTTTTGTTTTGCTAATAACTGACGACCACTTTCATGGTCCTTACAGTACATGAGTTAAAGTAGACAGAGAGAGAGAGAGAGAGAGAAATATATATAATAGAATAAGTTGACTAAAGTGAAATAAAGAGAAATGCAGGGCGAACATGTAGAAAGAACAAATCAAGATACCGTTGTGATATAAAGAGGAGAGGAGTTAACAATGTTTAAGGGCTAATCAGTCACTTTTAGAACTTTTCGGGGAACTCGTATAAAGTGACGACTTTTCTTCCGGCTCATAGTTGAGAGTAGAATCGTACGAGGGAATATTTGCACACCAGGAAATACATTTCTCGAGAAGTGATGTGTATTCAACATAACTCTGCACAAACATCTAGTGTTCATCAAAATTTTTGTTCTCAATTATATGCCAATTTTTCTTTTAGGGAGACATTTTGTTTTGCTTTTTTTATTAAAAAAAAAAAGTTGAAAAACTTGAATTGGCTTTCTTTTTCTACAAATGGCATGGCACTATCATTTAAACGACAATTTAAAACACAGAAAATAGTTTATCTTGTAAAATAAAAGATTCTTCCTCTAACGTCAGTTTACCTGAATTCGTTCCTTCACCACAAACATAACCATCGTTACGTCATAGATGTTGACGGAAACTATTGATATACGACCAAAGATTCTGCACGAGCTAGAACCCTGATTTACATATGTACAGTCTACTGTTTTTTTTTATTGAAGAGTAACCGATAATGCTTTAGAACTTACTTTGGCTGATAGTACTGTTTATTTAACAAGCAAACAATGTGAAATTAGAATTTCCGTTCGTGCTTTTTCAAGATATGATTATACTTAGCATGCTTGCCCAAATGTTCTCTTCCCGAATATAGAATCTTGCTATAATAATATCGCATGAAGACTATTTTATAATATTTATTATTCAATAATTTGAATTTGAACGACGTGAAACCCACTATATAAAACAATTTTATTTTTTATTACGAAGTATGAATTATAGTGAAGTTGGAAGTACACAAAACACAACACAATTTCAAGTAGTCAAATGTGAAGTAAAGAAAAATAAAGAGAAAGTTGTTGTTTAACAATTTCAAAGCTTGAGGCAATCATTTGTTTTTATTGCCTAAAAAGTTGTTTTAAACATTGAAACAAATGTAAACACGTGGTTTTATAAAGAATTTTAAGGAAAAATACTAATGAAGCTGTTCTAATAATAGCATCATCTATTGTTACCTCAAATGAGATTACGACTATAATTGCAATAATTCGAAGAGGAAACTTGTGATAGATTGAATGATGAATTATCATCTCGGTTCATATTGAACATTGAACAGACGAAAATTCCTTCACAAGACAATTATATTGTTTACAATGAAGAATCAACAAACCTAGATTCGATAATTACTGATATACTTAATGATTGTTTAACTACCGAAACATTAGCAAAAAACAGTCAAACATCATTTACTCGAGCTGGATAAAACTACTTCGACACATTTCGTATTACTAAATTTAAATAAGCAATCGAATGTATTCAATGATTTCTACACTGATTTATGTAGCTTCGAACAAAAATACTTCAAGAAATTATAATTTAGGAAAACATGAACAATGGATTGTCAATACAAGTGCATCCTATTGTATTCACCCATTTCATATCCATTGATAATGTGACAATTAAAACATGTCACACGACATGCATGTTTTCCTAATTGATTTCAACTGACTTTACTTATGAAAAATATTACCTTTCATTTCATTACATCGATGAAGTAAAAATAATTTTGATTGCACCTCTCTCTCTCTCTCTCTTTCTCGCTCAAGATAATTATTATTAATGTTGTAATTCTAGACTATATTTGCTAAGGTCTAAGACGATTTGCGATCAACATATGCTTTTGTCTCGTTAAGAAAAAGAACAATAGTAGGAACAATTAAAGCACTTATCATACTTAAACGTTGATATGAAGCAATCAATGATTGGAGATCACTAGTCGAATAACATATGCAATAAACTTTTCTATATAAAAAATTCATTTTTTTCACACATTCAGACGACTCATTCGCACTTTTCGTGTTCGTTAGACAATATTTCCTTTAGAAACGAACAAACATCTCGATTTCGATTTAATCACGATGATTTAGTAGCTAAATTTGAATGAAAGACGTTTAGCCATTGTTTTGTTTTATTTTGTTTAGAAAAAATAAGAGAAAGAGAGAGTACATAATAAATACATTTGAATAAACTTTTCAATTGATTGATTGTTCTTCATAAATGTCATTTCAATCAAATTATCGCACACGTTTCTCTTGAGGTGACATAAGATTTTCTCAAGGAAATGAACAATAGACGTATCATCTTATTCCCATTATATGGCAGAAAAATCAAGAGGCATGTCTCGTGCCTCAAGTTGTGTATGACATAATAGAAAAGCAACTTCTATATAAGAAATATCTTCATCTGTAAGCGATGATCATTTGAACGTGTATGCATGCACTTAGTCAACCAAATATTTATTCAGTTAATCGTATGCATAATCTTTTGATGTTGCATTGTTTTTTATTCTTACTTATTCTATTGGTGAACAATAACAAATCGAGCCAATAAAAAAAGAACGATACACAAGCATCTGTTAACTATTCGAAATAAAATAAAACTTCAAATGAGAAAAGCTACTCTTTATGCTTGTCAATCAGCCGGAGATATCTAGATTATTTATAGCAGGAGGAAAAAAAAAGAAATAAAATTAATCAAATCAGCTATGAACCGTTGACAAACTAACACATGTTTATTTTTCGCTTTGGTCAACTCTCATTATCATAATGATCAAAGTAAATAACGATAAGAGAGAAAATATACAATTTTACAGATGAGAGTACACAAATAGAGAGAGAGAGAGAGAGAAAAAAATTTGATCGAAATCAACGGGAGCTCTATTTGAAACGCACACAGGGATACAACGATGAATCTCACTAATCCATTGCCATTGTTCTCGATCTAGACAAACATTCAATTTCACAAAAAAGGGAAATTTTCCGACAAGAAAAGAAAACATGTCTGCCTGATAGTCGTTGAGAGATTTCGATACAGTCTCCTTGGATGTTTTCAAGAGTCTTATCATTTGATTCATCCATCTAAACGTAACGTATTTATTCTCTCTTCCATGTTAAAATATCTGGAGATCAATTCAACATCTGTGCTACAAAAAAAAAGAAGAAGGAAACAGTCGAAACGATTGAAAAAAAAACTATAACTATTATATTTCAAATATAAAAAAAGTCAAATGGCATTAAGGAAATCTATTAATATTCTTCATCCGTTAGGTTAGTACTTCCGCCGTTTGATGCCATATATTGCATCTGATGCAATCGATACATAGATCAATATCTTCTCACATCATGAACGCATGTGCGAGTAGTACTTAAAAGTGATCAGTTAAAACATGAAGATGATGATGATGATGTACAGGCACGAGCAACAGTTGTCGTTTGACACATTATATCGGTTGAATGCATCGTTGAGCAAGATTGGAAAGTAGGTGCGAGAAATCTTTTCCGATCAATAGAAAAAAAGGAAGACAACAAGCTGTCGCTGTAACAAGTGCTCAGATACTTGACCTAACGTTTTTTTCTTCTCCTCGTTTGTGATCTATTCCGAGATGTATCATCTCACATGTGACAGTCAATAAAAAAAAAAAGAAAGTATAACGAAGTAACAGCGGCAATCATCTATATATATAAAGACAAAATGATCTAGTCATTTGTCTTATTTAGTATACTCACGCAAACAACAGTAAGTGGTAACCGCAATTGATTTTGCCTATGGGCTATCGAGCGGTGTTTATTTTCTTTTTTGTAAAAATTCAAGTGAATTAACGAACATTTTAACACTATTTTGATAACGACAAAAAAAGCAAAAAAGGCTGATGGGAGGTGTTCAAAAGTCTCAATTTCCTCTTCTTTTTTTTTGTACGCCTATACCTTTTCTCGAAAGGCGTGTCTTCTCATTTTCTTCTTCTTTTTTTTTTATTCTTATGCCAGTCAATACAATTAGTTTCGCACGTATACACCTTTCAATGATGAGATTCAGATTCGAATACAAATCAATCATTCGCCATTCGAATGCTGTGTTAATGATACGTTGGACAGCAGCGAAAGAGAGAGAGAGAGAGAGAGGGGGAGAGAGAGAGAGGGGGAGAGAAAGAGAAACAGAAACAGCAGCATTGCTAATGAGAGAACGGAAAGAGAACGAGAAAAAAAACCTAACGTTCGATCGACGGAAACATGGGTCAGTCGTTAAATGTTCATTACTTGAAATGAATTAATATTCTCCTAATCTAGGAAATGAAACTGCGTTCACATGAAATCCTCTCGTCAGGTAAAAAACCAATTCAATCATCGCATCCTTCTCGTTTTAAACAATTATTTCAACGAAAAAATGTATTCAAAAAAAAATTTCAACAGCAATCACATCAACATCATGGCCTAGTGCATACTATTCCAGATTATGTACGAAAAAGTATTTTTCGTTTTTTACTTGAAGTTAAACATCCACATCCAACTCCTCCTTCGCCGCCACCTTCCCCACCCCCACGACCAATCCGACAACCACCATTGATGGGTATTCAAGCATTGAAAAATAAAAAACAACATTTACATAACCAACCAAAACGTTCATTACGAATAAAGTATTATAATAATAAAACAAACGTTCTATATCTATTGGCAATATTTTGTTTTTTAGACAACAACAAACTGTTACTGACAATGATAAATCTTTCGAAGATTATCAACAGCAAGAACAACAACAACAACAACAACAACAACAGAATAACTACGATATGACTATTTTACATATGCCAATGGATGACGATGATACAGATGATGACGAAGATGATTTCATATTTGCAACAAAAACAAGTACCAATCAAAAGAAACCAATCCCAGAATGGGCACGAAGTATGTTTAATTGAGTTTAATTCCTTATTGAGAAAAAAAAACTATCTTCTGCTTTCTCTATAGGAAATGAATTGCAAATTGCTATATGTAATCAAATCTATTTTCATCGAAATCCAAGTGAAATATTTGGAAATTCAATGGATTGTTCACCAGCACATTTACGCACAATATTGCATTCAATGTTACCTAATGTTGAATTATTGGATGATAATCTACATTAATCACCTCGCAATAGTAACAAATCTTTATTGACTTAAAACTCCTTTTTCAGTTTCTTTTGATTGTTATGTAAATATATATATTGGAGAAAAAAAGAAGAAATAGACTTTTTGATTTTATTCACACATTTATATTTACCGCATTGGCGGCATTAAGTGAATACGCCTTTTACACCATCATAGAGAGAGAAAAACAACAATACAAAAAGAAAAGAAAAGAAAAACGAAATTTTCCCAATATTCCATCAGACAATAAGTTACAAATGAACTGTATAGGTATCCATTAGATGTGCAAACTTTAATCGTGTGAATAAATAGCAGACAAGAAAAGAACAAGAAAAAACGATGACTGATCGCCCCTCTGGCAGCCATGCCATGGATCATTGAAGTTCGATCACTTCATCATTGTTAAGCTTGATTGATCTATTGTTTCATATGAAATAAAGAAAGTGAAACCGTTTTTTAATTGAATTAGTTTTTTTCCCTTTGTTTTGCTCTCACGTGTGAGAAAAGAAACCTTACGTTTTAACAGTGTAACGCACGCGTACATAAGTAGGGGACAAATGATCAATATTTACAAGAGACTTCAAGTATGCAAATACTCTCTTGAATGTGTATGATTATTGAATAAAAAAGGACAACATGTCTTGATAGTGAAATAGACATGACGGTGAGACTTTAAAACATCGGTTATTGATTAAAAAGCAGAAGAAGGATCAAAGATAAAGTTTGATTAATGATTTTAAATTATTTAAAATAGAGAACAGGATTAGGAAAGAATTAATATTAAAAAAAAACTGTTCGGAACTTGTCGCATTATATCTATTGATGTTTGATACTTTTTAATCGAAGTGTACTTAATCTATATTTGTTTTATCAGAAAAGAGACATTTTGATATAAACGATGTGTTTATTGACAAAGGGAATGATTCAAAAAAAAGTTAAGTCTACAACAGAAAACGGTCAGTTCTTTGTAGACGAATCTTATCGATAGTAAACGTGTAGATCTTGGCGGCTTCTTTTTTTTCTTGAAGGAATTACGTACATGTACAACACGCATGGAGCAACATCGATGATACGATCGTGATATGTTACTTTGATTAAATTTAAGATAATATCTTTCTTTTATGGATAATTTCATTTCGCTTCATTAATACGGTTTTATGAGTCGTACTGCCTGCCCTGTAGAAGTTGTACAATACTCGTGTTAACTAATCATTAACATCAATTTAGTTTGTGATAAAACTCATGTACATGTTAGGTATAAAACGAAAGTTTTCTAAGCTCTAATACACGACTTCAAAAGAATGTTGCACAATCATAGCTGGAGATGAACTTATTTTTTGTTATTACTTCGATCAGATACTTTATCGATTTGCTACTGGGCTATTCGATAAATATCTCGAATAAAGTTTATATGTCTAATGTTGTGATGGGCTTAATTTGCTTCGTGTATTTCGTTTCGCAAATATTAGTGACTTGAGCTTGTCAGTTAGTTCGACTAGAAGAAAAACATTCGAATATCATACACATTAGAAACGCTAATGTACGGAGACTTTTTTTATTACTGCAGACAGCTTGTTTTTATGAGAATGAATGAAGCATTTATAGTCTATTTTGTATAATCTACATTGGCAATAATATATAAAGATTTAAATAATTACAAATAAAATTCATAATTTGATCCATAATCACGTGAGCCAATCTATGAAACAAGCCTGTTGCCTTAGTGCTGCCTATTCGTAAAATTTTTGTATCAAATCTTGGAGACTCTACTGATAGAGATATTTCAATGGTTGTTTTTAATGTTCATTAGAGCGAGTGCACTGATTCAAGCCGAAATTTCAGCCTATGAGTATATTAGAACAATGATGAAAACTAATTAAATAAAGAACTTTTGTTCATGCACGATATCTTTCACTTTGAACACTTCAATTATATGATCAAAAATAGTTTCTTTCTCATGATGAAAAAAAAGAGTATCGTGTCTATAAGTACTTAAATAAATAGACATTCAGTTCATTGACTGTTGTCACCGACATTATATGTAGACATGAAAAGGAAACATTTTCTTTGCGAATTTGAACTGTTGATAATATTACATAGACTCATAGAGTTCGTTTTACACGTCAAAATAAATAGATTTCATACGTTAAAGTCTAGCATTGCTCGTCTGTATTTCAATTTTGTTACATCGATCGTTGATATCAATCGAAATCGTTTCGTTTTTATTACACAAATACGAAAGAAAATGTTATCCGATAAAATTTTTGTGTAATGATTGGTGATGATATTTTATTGCATCTGATCGTATGTCTTGACGTGACCAACACATGCAGCTAATGTCTCACTCAATAAAAAAAAAGTATATTACTCGACATATTGTTGGCTATATACCATCTGATAAAATTGATCAATTTGGTTTGTATGCAACGGATCCAAATCGAATTCATATTCTTTTTCTTTCCCCCCTGTTTATGTGAGTTAGTGTTATTTTTCTACTCTAATATTCTCTCGAGAGAATAAATACATGTATATTATTTATCAATTATATTCTTGGCAGGAAAAGACTTTGACAATAAGAAATTTGAACTATTAATTTTTATTTAAAAAGAAATCAAATCCTTATCAGCAGACCATTTATCAATCAAGCTTATCAATTAGTTATCAAAGATAAATTTAATAGCTTAACACATCACTTGATGGAAAGAGAAAGCGTAAACAGTAATTTTACATCAATTTCACATACTGATAAAACACTGAATTAGTATAAAAAATATCGAGAAAAGGGTATTATCATGCCTTTTTTTTATAAATATCATAAAATCTAAGCTAACTGTAGGTACCTGAATTATGTGTAGGGTATCATCAACTGAAAAAAATAAGACAAAATTTCTCGTATCTTCAAAATTAACCAATAATTTCCTGTCCAGTCCATAGCGATTTGATGAAATAAAACAAATTCATTTGATTATCAATATTGAAATTCAACATCATACAAGAGAAAAACAGAACATTGCGACAGGTGTATGTTACAGCCGTTTTGTGCAATAACAGAAAAAAAATCTGGTCCCTATGAGGATCGAACTCATGACCTCCGCGTTATTAGCACGGCGCTCTAACCAGCTGAGCTAAGGGACCGTGTCAATGCCATGCGGAAAATCTACGATGATTTTTGTCATATAGTACGTAGCTATCAGGAATGCTATTGGACAATCGATTGTCAAATTCTTTCAATCTACTCTTTTCAAATGCTTGAATTCATTTTCTGTCATGTAACTAACGATAGTTTTTTCGTTGGAGAGTTCTGCTAAACAATTGTATCTTAGGCTAACTTTTTTTTACAGTGGTTACAAGAATTTAGCATAGATGGATTCATTTAAATGCTCTATCTTTTGACTCAATCTCAATTGAATGAAAAATATAATTCTATACCTTTTCGACCGTTTTAAAGCTCTTAATCTACAACAACAACTGTTCTGAGCTGAATACAGTCACACACAATTCATAAAATGCTGTAATTCAGTATTCTTAATAAGCAACAAAACTACATAGAACCACCTTACACAAAGATGGAAACAGCATTTAGATTTCAATCATTTATAAAGAAAAAAGAAAAAATTCAAATCTAAATATTTTTATTTATTTCAATTTAATTGAAAAGAATTATAATAAATAAATCATGATACTAGAGAAGTTTAGACCAATGGATCGCATGAATTTTGGCAGCTTCCTCTTCAAGAATAGGACCGGTAACAATAAATTGAGGCGATGGTAAAAGTGGTCGACTAGACATGAGTCCATCAAAACCTGCATATTTCTAAAAACGAAGAAATATTTTACAATTTATACGGTATTTAGTCTTTATAAGGGAATATGATGTTTTTCATTTTAAGATTTTGTTGTTAATATTTTCTAATAGGACATAATTTAATATCATTCTCTAGTTCTGTTATGTACAATAGATCCAGCGGTGATCCAATTTTTATTTCTATATACTCACTCCCAATGTTTCATTTGAAAGAGCATAAACCATATTTCGAACACCACTCCAACGTAAAGCACCTATACACATTATACATGGTTCACAACTAGTATAAAGTGTACATTGCTCAAGAATATCTCGAGTAAATTTTTGTGTAGCTTTACTAATTAAATTCAATTCGGCATGACGAGTTGTATCGTACACAGGATTACGACATGTGTTTTCGGCAGTCAATAATACTTCTCCATCCTTTGATACCAGACAAGCACCAAACGGATCATTTCCATGTTCGACAGCAGATAGAGAAAGTTCAATCGCCTGACGGATGAATGGTTCATGAATACTATCACTAACAGATGATGACATTGTTTTTTTCTTATACAAAAGAAAAATCAGTTACGTGAGAGGTATGTGATGTAAACACTATTATTGTATTGAATTCTTATCTTTACCAAACACTCATACACACCCCAAGTTGGCCATTTTTAGATAAATTAACAGATGGCGCTCTCTAACAAACTATTTCGGCAGAGAATTTCATATTATGTATCATAAAAAGAAGAACACACGTATATGGTACCGCATATATCTGGTTGAGTTAGTAGATGAGAAGAAGCCCTCATCTTTAATATTCTTTGTGAACTAATTGTTAAGGATTTAATTGATCTGAAAAGCGATAATAATATACGACAAAATAATTAAGGAGAACTTCGTGCTGAAACGCTTGTTGCTCAAAGAGTTATACAAAGTTTTGAGCACTAAGATGATAGATTCTCTCTAATTCTAACCGGAGTGTTATTCCATGATAATTCTCAACGTAATACTTTTATATTCAACATGGTAATGATTCAAGAGATTTGTGATTAATATAAGATTTCAGTTAGTTATCAATGCAAAATTAACTATTTGGCTTAATATTCATTAGAACTGAAGATCTAACAGATTGGTCCGCGGCTACGATTATTAATTCTTCTGAAAATTTTTGTAAGTACCATATTCGAAATTGATTCATGGGAGTATGCTAGTTGGTTAGATTGCAAACCATCAAATGAAGAATTCATTGAGACAAATTTATCCGTCAGATTGAAATGTTCGTAATGAATCATCTATTATTTTAAAGTATTACCGGTGTTTTTTATAAAATGTATAACAAGCTATGATTTCAGAGTAACAGATAGTTAACATTTTTCTGCCTTTTGAATAATGCACCAATTAACATTAGAAATTATTTTTCAGTCATCATCATGAAACAAAAAAGATGAACCTACAAATTCTTCTATACGATTCTCGACTACAACTGTATCTTATGACATAATGGATAGATGACATATTTGTTTCGTCGTTCTTAATCCATTTATCTGATGGTATTTAGTAGACACAGAGAAAGAAATTCCGACGTCCAAAATGAGAAAGATAAAATAAAATAAAACTGATATATAAAATGAAGTGAAAAGGAAAAGACAATAAATAAACACGCACACGTATATAGACGACACGGTTGTTCTGCTCTTTATAATCTAGTTCACCAGACAACAACAACAACAACAAAATTAACAAGTAAAATTTTTATCTCTGAGAAGGAAATGAAACTTTTTACGCTGAAATTTTTCTTTTAAGAATGATGTCAACAGAATCTCCAACACAAAATCAGCAAACAGCAGCATACGACGAGCGTGTTTTTAACGAACGTATTCGTCAATTATTTAATTCGATCGATTCATCTTCCATATCTCATAATCCAATATCAACACATGGTGATATTGGTCAAATGACATCTATTGTTGATGCACTTTTTCCTGAGCAAGCTTCAATAAATCAACAACGGCATGCATCAACAAACGATCTTACAACCGCTTTCGATCGATTACCATTATGGAGTACTAATACCAATAATAAACCGAATAGTTCAGCATCAGCTTTTTGTGGTGGTTCAACAAATGGTTCATCAGCATTTGCTTACCGACGACAAGCAAAATTACATAGTTCATCACGTTCATTACGCAATGCTAATTACCATTGTCAACAACAGCCACAGCAGCAGCAGCAACAACAACATCACTATCGACCACCACCACTTACTCGCCCTCGTTTTACTTCATCGACAATACGTTTGCCATCAGCAGCAGCAACAACAACAACAACAACAACAACGTAACGTTTGAAATCGAATTCAAGTCGATTATTGAATTTAAATTTTTTTCTATTTCAGAGCTTTACCTAATCCTAGTACCAATGGTCTTCAACGATCTTCATCATCATTGTCGACTAACAATGGTACAACTGATTATCAACCTCGTTTTGCTAGTCGCCTTTCAAGTACTCGATTACCTACGTTGGCAACACCCGTAGGATCTCATGATCAAATAGCAGGCAATAGTATTACAATAGATCCAATAGCTCCACCATCGGCAGCGTCTACTGTTGGTGTCATGAGTCAACCATCATCGGCTTCTGCTGTACTTGCTCGCAGTACTTCATCGGCAAATGGTCAAGCTCAACAATTCGTTACTATGACACAAACAACGACAACAACATTTTGCTATGTACCTGCTTCTGGTTCGCTTGCTTATAACAATATATCAGGTGCAAATCGCAATGCAACTGTTTCGCACCATTAAAACAAAGAAAAAAAAGCTTCATTCGTTTGATTGAGAACTCTGTTAAATATGTCGTCGTTGTCTAAGACACATGTTTATTTATATATATATATATATACATATATAAATATACATAGATATATATTTATCTTATTTATGGTTTACTTGTGTACGTATGCAGGTTTTCTTCGTTATTTTTTTCTCTTTTGGATTTTGGATCAATCGATCGTTAGTTTTTCTGTTGTATTTGTCGAACAATTTCATGCACAGAATTATTTATTTATTTATTTATTTTCTTTCTGTCTTTCTCTCTTTTGTCTTGACTGTTCTCTCTAATTTTCCTGCTTCTATACTCATTAGTTAAACAGTTGTCTTTGCAGCGAAAGCAAAGAACAAATTTTGTTCAATAAAAGATATATGATAATGTAAAATTTATTCATAGATATTCTTAATTAGAAACTGGATAATAAAGTAAAATAAAATAATAAGTAATTATAAATACTGACTTTTTCTGAATTATTATATTTAGCATGACTTTATCTTGACATATTGTAATTATGTAGAATATGTAAATGTAAAATTCATCACTAAATTACACATGGGATTAGCATGACGTATTTTTACTTTTTGCTTCCAATTACATAAAGATTACATTAGTCGACCTATTCTTTTATCAAATTTCTGCATTGTCGTTACTATTTATCTTTGAAAAATGTAATAAGTACCTATCTTAGCTTGTAATTCAGTAGTGGTGTTTTTTTCATACCGTTTTTCACACAGTGGTTGAATTTCCATAGATTCAATAATTAATTCTACCCTAATTCCTAACCTTTCATTTTCACACCAAAAATAGTTACAAATTTTCTTGATTACATCAAAGAAGAAATTTAACGTGGTTTGTTTTTTTGCGAATACTTCTCATACTCATCCTTAACTTGAATAGTCAGAAAAGTATTTATATAATAATAATTTGAAATTTATCATGCACTATTTATTTTTGTTCGTTAAAGGCTCCTTTTCAGTTTTAATGAAGCATAAAAATTTATATCAATGATACTACAGATGAGCGTTAGCGAAGCGCTAAGTGTTTCTTTCTCATTCAAACTCGAGATTTTGATAAGGCATCATGACACATTCGATAACAAATGCAACTAATGAAATGTCTCGGAGCGAATCGTTCTAATTAGATTTTATTAAAACTATTCAAGAAGACTGTATAGAAATATATTATTTCAAAAGTTATAACTAATGGAAAGTATGATGTACCGTTTGAGCTTTTGAACTTCGTTTACATAACATACTTTGTGTTTAGTCCGAAGTTATCGACTGTCTTGTCAAAATAAAATAGCGATAGTCGATTCTATACGAAGTAAAAGAGTAGTAGGAAGTAGAACTGTAATTATATTCTATTTCAGAATATCAGTGAAAGATCGTTTCTTAACGTACTTGCTGATGACATACAATGGTGTGTGTTGAAATCGATAATTAGATGATTCACAAAAACTTGAGTGCATGTACAATTTCTTATTTATCATTTGAAAAAGAACGTAGCGACTCAAATTTTTTGAGCCATCATGACAGTAAACCTAATAAAACATTTACCTCCATCATACGATAAGCAAGTACTAAACTACGTTTTAATGTTGAATAATGCAGTAGAGAATGAGCTATTAGAAGATCTGAAACATTTAGTCGAATGAAAATTACATCTGATGTTTATAATTAATCTTTTATGAAAATGTACTTATTATACTAGAAAGTCTTACTCAGTTAATAACGTCTTTCTTAGAATGAATTATTTTGAAAGTTCACATACTATTGATGATTCAGTAAACGACATTGATTATAGTTATTTACCTATTGAAATTTTTTCTTGAATTAAATAAAATGCACCGAAACAAAAGATTGCTTGTTTTGCCACCGAATAATTCAGACTATGGTTTAATACAACGCGCTAGTACAGCCCATCGGGTTCACAAATGGTGCGGATCCAAACGTGTCAATCGAAAAACTTTAATTCGAACCTAGTGGTGGTGCCATCGGGCGCTGTCGAAGTGTCAATACGCTCTCCACACAATAGTTCGAAATTTTTAGCAGTAAGTAGGTCAAAAAACCATTCCGGTTAGTTCTCGATAAAGTAGTTCTACCGATTTTTTTGTTTGTTTGTGAAATAGATATCTACCACCGTCTTGGATAATACAATAGATAGATTGATCGACTAAGGTGACGAAATGTGCCTCACATTCATACAATTAGAAAAATATCTCTTTGATTAGACCATGGGCTTTGAAATTTCTTATGTTAGCATCTTTACATAGAACAATAATACTGATTATTATCATTGCATGCTCTCATTGAAATTATCTATTTTGACTTTTCAAATCAACATTCACACATGGAAACAAGCAAACAAAAATGAAAAGAGATATCTTCTAGTTCACAAACAAAAGAAAAGAAACAAAAAAGTTGGAATAATGTGTAAATGTATGAAGAAACAGAGAGCGAGCAAGAAAGCACAATTTTTGTAGAAATAGTTTTCATTTTTTTTCTGCAAACGAACAAAAGAAATTATTTGTTGTAAGTTCTACAGAGACATTTCACTTAAGACACACACACACACGCACGCACGCAAACCACAGAGAGATAGAATATAACATGGAAACATAGAAGAACAAGAAACAATATAATAAGTATCATGTCGCATGAGAAATTTTAATGATAGATACTTCCTGAGTAAAAAATAATGAGATTCGAATGAAAGAAAATTATTGAACAAAATAAATAAACACAGGAAGAAAGCACAATATGATTGGGACTAAGCAGAAGTTATCGATGATGTTCCATACTCATATTTTCTTCATCAATATCATCAAATGTTAAATCAATTACTTCATCATTGTCACCTTCGTTGCCTATTTTCGATAATGAGACATGTATGATTTCTTTAACTCGACGTTCATAATGTTCATTGTCTTTTTTATTTTTTAAATAACGCCGAAGTATACTTAATGTTGCTTGATCTTGATGAAATGTTTTCATATAAAGTTCGCCAATTGCAAATACGCAGTCATTTAAATCACGTTGCGTATAGGATGTTATTTGTATATGACGATTTGTCCATATTGCGTCAGTTTTCAAAAGACGATTAGCATAGAGAAGACAACTAGCTGCTATCGTCGATGAACGGTATGATGAAAATGGACGATCTTGTAACAGTGATAGTGTACATAAATAACTTGTCAACATCATTAAACATTTATAATCATTATCACCATCTTTAGTTGATATTGTTGGTTTAAAAAATGTCAAGTAATATTGTACAAATGTATAACATGTAGGTCCAGAAAGAGAAAAATTGAGCATCTAGAGAAAATATTTTAATATCAAAATGTTACGACAATTACAACAATTGAATGAGTTTCTATCAAGATTATTTCAATCGTTACAGATGGTAGAACAACTTTCTGAAGAATTCGTATCTCTATAATTTTCATATCAGCTCATTTGAAAGGTTTAAAAGTGTTAATACACGAGTAACCCTCGTTGGCATGTTGAAGATAGACAATCGAGCGTAATAATACATCCCTCATAATATAAAAATCAATCTATACAATCCTATATGGATTATACAAACATCTAAGAATTATGATGGAGTCCTCGCTTTATGTTTCTATTTCAATGATTCTCGTTAAGTATTATAAACTTACTTTCATTACAATTTGTTCCATCCGAAGTATATGTTTTGTTTCATATGTATTGTCTGTAATGAATGAAAACTCATCTAATGCTGGTGGATACATTTCTTCGTATTTCGATGCCACATACATACAAGTTGTACCTATTTAAGAGAAATGCATTTTTTTTTATTCTATTTTTTCTTTGTAAATCAATACTGACCAACTAATTGTAATTTTGATCGTGTTACATTAACTGTTGATAAAAACCGATCAACATATTGTACACACAGAAAAAGTGTTTCATCGTTTAGTTTGTATTCATCGGCTACTTCAATCAGCCAATCGACAAGTATTGTACGCATTGCCGAATTTATATCCGATTGATATTCCATAAAGTTCATTTCTTCAAATAGAAAAGAAATTTTATATTGTAGACATATTGACGAAATACTTACTAGGAGCATAAATATGCTCTACTGATTTTAAATGTTCAAAAATTGTTTGACGATAATCAGGTCTATATATAGAAAGAATATTCAAATCGTTTGAAAAAAATCGATAGTTAGCTTTTTCAGAGGTGTGTCTGGTTCTAGTCACATTGTCGCTCGCTAATTTATTAAGAATGATATTCAACAACGTGACTGCCGAAGACGGAAATATTCTAATCGGTTAGTTAATTTTAATTTGAAACCATGCGCGTGATGTCAACTGTAAAATTACTACGGGTCAATTGAGTTTCAACTTGAAACATGACGCAAAGATGCTCTTTAACTGAAGTAATCAATTGTGCAAATCTTAGGCGTCTTTTTTATGAAACGATGACATAGAAAAAATTCTGTTATCGCAGTGAAATTTTAAAGCGACAAGATCTGAAAATGTCATAAACTACTTCTGTTAAGAATTGTCTATGAACAGTTTGCCTGAGAATCACAACATCAATTGAAAAAAACCGTAGAAGTTTAGTGTTATCGGAAAGACATAAACTCTTTCGAATGAGTTTGTTTAGATCTCCCTATGGAAAACAAATATGCTTTACTCACAGCTCGTATAGCTCCTGTTCCAGCTGTTCACGAGTTTTTTCTTCAAATACTGTTTGTTTTGGTAAAACGACAATATTTGCCTTACTAATGGTTGTAACCATTGGCGAAATATGCATTCGATTATCATCATTGATCTGTATGAGATGTTTTTTTATTGAACGTGCTGCTGTTAGAATTGGCCTTGATGATATTGGAATCACATTCTCTTGTTGGTGTAACGAAAAATTAGTACATAATTTTGTCTTGTTTGTATTAATAAATATTTTATCTGATGATACATCTGTCAGCGGAAGTCGGTTATGTGTTGGACGCAGTACATTTCGATTCGAATTCATCATCTTTGAAAATAATTTTTATTAATATAAATATGATTCTTTCTAACCTAGTATTTTATTCTTACTCGAATCTTAAACAAACTGCGTTCGATTATGAACTAAACCAGTCGACGACAAGAAAACAAAAAAAAGGGTTGTATATAATGAAAAACAAAAGACGAACGTCTCCTGGTGTGTCTATGTATAATAACGTCTGTGCATGTTCTTTGTTTAATAGCGCTTGTATTTGTGTTCGTCCAATGTGTGCGATTACTTGGCTTGTTTGGTTCACACTACGAAAGGGTGCGCTAGTGAACATAGGAGAGTATGGATTCATTTTCCTATCCTATATTCTAATGAATAAATAGAAGACACAGCACTGATTATATATTGTTTAGAATTTTATTTTTCAGTAAACTTCAAAACAATTATACAGAGGTGTAGCACAGCGGCAATTTTTCCAGCTCTTTAAAACAAGAGAAAAGAGTCGAATTGAGAAAGATAATTAGAAGACGGATCCAGAAATTATTGATGCGAACCACTTTCAAAGTATTAAAAATTATCATGTTGAATTGCGGTACGAGATGAAATTGAATCAATATTTTTCGTGTTTCAGTAATATTTTCAAAAGCTAAACTTAATACAAGATGAGCACTTAAATATAAACATCTACTTTCATAATGAACTTTAGTGAAGATAAATGTTGTTGGCAATCATTTTGTATTTTTTTCACAGCATCATAGAAAAATAATTGTAATTTCTCTTAGTACAAACCTGAATTTAACATATGTTCTATAAGAAAGGGTGATCTTTCATGTGAATTATTTGAATACACTTTTTTTTTATCATATGCATGTTAACTTCACGTGTATGTGTCAAAAGGCAGTTTAACCCGTATGTTCTCAATAGAGAAAGGTGGTAAAATATTTTTGTTTGTTTGTTGCACAACTTTATTTTTCATCACAATCAAACATCGAAGATTATTTTGACGACATGACAGGCGTGCTTTTTTCTGTTGAATAGGTTTTCTTACAGATATTTACGATTTGGTTTAATCAGCGTTAATACTCTAATCATTAAATATTCTAAAGTACATCTTGGAGCAAAACTAATTTGTTCTTGTTGCTTGTTAGCTTTCATTTTTTGGTACATAATGACCTATAAAAATCCATGTAACTCTTTTATCTTGGTTTCTGAACAAAAAAAACTTAATTATATAGCTGAAAGCAAACAATTTTTTTGTGTAGGTAACTATGCAAATACAAATATAGAAAACTGATAGAACTTTCGAGTTTGCTATTTTTTTCTGTAGGAAAATTTTTGATGTAATCCACTCTTACTAAGCTTTATTTTAGTGCAGAAGACATGTTCTTATTCTTTAAATTTAAAAAAATGTAAAGAAATCTTAAGATTAATGCCAGAGAATATTGAAAAATAAAAACAATTTCTTCACCTAATAAGTTTGTTTGCTGCCATCATTTTATTGGGTAAAGATGTCTTCTTCTATTTCTGGTAAATAAAACTCTAAAAAAAATTTCACATTTTGAGACAACTGCTATGATTAAACAGCAAAAGTAAAACTCAGCTCAGCGAGAGAAAAATTTACTTTAATTAAAAATAATAATGAGATACTGTTTTTTTTTGCCGAATGCTTATTTCTATTACTAAGTAGACATGTAGTGAACGGAATGAGAGGTAGACAAAAACTCTTTTTTTTATCTGCATGTCCGTGATACAAATGCTTATGTTCAGGTCTGTGTCGAGCTTTACATAGATGCTTTTCGCTTGTCAATAATGATTCTAATGAAGCTAATGCTAACAGATTATATTAGTACTAAAAATAAAGGCACGTATAACAGTCAGATTATTAGAACATGCTTTTTTTTCTGTTGAGAGAAAATAATATTGTACTGGACTCTGTTATAATACATCTTATTTATGGGCCATTTTGAAAGTGCGTAGAAACCTATGATTAGTATAGTTTGTAGTTATTATAAGAAGCATTAAATAATAGGAAAAAAATAAAAATGTTGGATGCCAATTAATTCTTGTTTTTTTGAATACAAAACTGAATGACTAGGTTACTCAATGAATTCATTTTCTCAAAAGAAAATATACAGAAAAATAAAGTCTTTTAGTGGCTGATTTTGTAATGTGGCATAGAAGTAATATAACTGATAAAATAAAAAATGACTCAAACTTGTGCTGGATTACATACAATCATAACTATGAATCAGTACAACAAAATTTAGTATGACTACTTATTCCAATGCTTCAATGCTTACGAGAAATATAATTATTTATCAAAGACAACGAATACGCAATTCTATTTAGTTTTTTTATGCTAGCATTTTCTATTATTTCAATAGAACAATAAAGTTCTGGATAATTTCTTCCAAGGTCTCACTTGGCGTTGCGTCTTATTTTTGTCACTTATTATTTAACATTGACTTGTCTTTTCCCAAGGACTATTTATAAATACAATGAGATGAGTTGTAGTTAATTGAACAGTACATTCGTATCTATATATTTAGATTTGAGTTCTTTTAAAATAGAGTATTTTTAACATTTTTTTTCCTGCACGATAAATTATTACGCTAGCGTAAGAAGAAAGCCACACACAGATATAGATATCTAACCCAATCCTGATGCTTTCAAATTTTCATCGATTAAGATGTTGTTCGCGACACCATAAATATACATTAATTGTCCTTGATGTTGTTGTCGATCAACAGTTTTACAAACTGCACATCGTCGATGATTGAGTCCGCGTGAACAGTCCAAAAATTTATTCCATATAATTAGATCGAACTCTTTATTTCCCTCAGTGTTCATTTCATCGTCAATTTCAATATTAATGTTTTCTTCATCTTCTTCTATATCTTTCGATAGAACAGGATTGTATTCAATCGATTTCTTTTGTGAATTTCGTCGATTGTGACCTGCTCTTCTCTGACGTAATAAAGCATCGTAGCCCCCATCTGGTAAAAGGGCTTTTGTTAGAACATCTCGGACGTTTTTAGTTAATTCAAACCATTCGTGTGCATCTTCATGGAGAAGTTCATGTTTAGCGCTTCGTTTATAACGTCGATCATGTGTCATACGTGCTTTCATACGTGCAAAAAGTTTTACTAACGAAAATGATCTATCACCAGATTCATCATCATCATCAACATTATAATAGATTGTTGGTGGTATTCGACTTATGACTCGATGTTCTTCTCTATGATAGTTATTACTAAAATCATTTAATAATGAACGAGCTTGAGACAAATGAAATGAACGATCATAAGCCAGAGGATGATTTTCAGTTGTCCAAGTAATTTGCCGTGAAAATACGGATTGATTTAGTTTTTGATGATGATTATGTTGTTGTTGTTGCTGTTGTATGGTATCTAAAACACTTGTTGTTGGCGAATGACGCAAAACACCGCAATGTTGTGTTAGATAAAGATAATTTTCCATTAGATCTTTTTCTGTTTCATCTATTTCTTCGGCATATTCATGCGGATAATTTTGATAGAACTCATCATTTTTCTTATGAATAAGATCTCGTTGTTTGGTTGATGTTTGTAGTGCCATGCAAATAAATTATTTCATAAAAATAAATTGTCTTATTCTTTGCCGTCGTCTTTTTCAATAAGGTAAATAGGCTGTCAGTTCAATGTTGTGGATGTTTTAGTGACCCTAATATATATTTTGACGGCACCATTTGAATAAAGGTAAGAATAGAAACTTTTTATAATAATTAAAAATAACCACGACGATGCGATAGAATAATGAAGAAATCTTAGCGTTGCGAAAGAGAAAGAGAAACACGCCCTTGTTACATACGGCATCTTTGATGCTCTCGTTGAAAACTTAGAATTATATAAAGAAACAGTCGGTTTTTTACGAAGTTTATTCTGCCTATCTCTTCTCTGTCTCTCTCTCTCTCTCTCTCTCTCTTTTTCTGTGTTTAATTGCGATGCATTAAAATTAAGAAAACGGATAGAAAAGTCTCGCTTAGACTTCTTTAGAATATGGTATGTAATGGCATTAGAGGACCCGTAAACTAAAAATAGTATTCCTTCAAGATTTTGTTTGATGCATACCAATTGTAGCAGATAATCATATATATATACATATATTTATATATTCTTTTGAAGTGAAAATCTCTATTTTTCTTCTTCTATCTAAACAATATCCATAGACTCCGGCACATTCATTGAGGAATCAATAGCTAAGTGTCATTAGAATTATTTGTTTGATTAAATTGAACGGTATTTATAAAAAAATAGAAGGATCGAGGATTATCGAGTTACAGTCTATCGAATTGAAGCTATTTTTGTTTTTCTCATTGAATTAGACTAATGTTTTGTTTGCTTCAAAACAATACGGATAGAAATTAATCAAACGAAAAACATAACCTGACAGGTAGAAATGATTTAAATTGACAGGAGATGATAGCCTAATGCATATTAATGAAGTTATCAGTGCGTATCACGTCAGCTTTAATAATAGAACAAAACGGAAATAGACACGCTTTTATTTTTATTTTAATAAAGCTGATATTAGTTCAGTGTGGTAATCCTAAAGTCTGTTGTGATATTGATGGTGACATAAAATGTGCTGATGACAGCAGATAAGAAAGAGACGTCACGCATATAAATAAAACACAATCATATAATAAATTTTATTGGCCTTGAAATCCTGGGGCTTTGAATTAAATCATAAAATCCACAAATGTCTAAAAGCAATTTAATATTGTTTAGTTTCCAGGTGATTTTTAAGTCTTTCTTTTTTTGGCAAATAAAACAAAAACTAAACAATATTCTGCATGAATATTCGCATTACGGTTGTTTTTTTTCTTTGAGGAAATGCCTGAGGAATATTTAATCAAAGAGTCATCTACAGTTCCTGTGAAAGTTTTTGAAATTTCATTAAGTAATTTCAAGCTAAACGATCATTTTCTTATTTAGTCTTACGCTTGAATTTATTTCGTGTAAATTAGTAAAAGGTGACCGAGTAGATAGATCGTTTGTCCCATCTAAATATTTAATATGAGATGTCAGACTTATTAAGAAGCGGAAATCAATGTACGAATATGCATAGATTATCTATAATTATATAGAAATGGGAAGCAATTGCCACCGATTTCGAAAAAATATGTGGAAATTTCCTATGGTTCAGAAGCAAGCACAATATGAAGCCGAATAACCGACAGGATTCGGTTATAAATCTCATGAAATCAACAAAAATATTTAATGCCGATAGTTCTATATGTGACTTGAGGATTTCAATTCAACTTTATATTTTCTTGATTCTAGTTCACAGTGACTTTCAAAATGGATCTTAGACACGCAAACGTTCATTATTTATTCTATAATTATGCATAATCAAACGAATGCCAACAGGAATTTTCTAAAGGGAATCTAAACAAAAATAAGACGTTTATGATCATCTTAAATGTCTCGTCATTCATTCAAAGGTTGGACTTATGGTTTTCTAGAATTTTTGAAACTTAGAAAGTGCTGAAGGTCTGTACTTTGTTTAAATTCGTTTTATCAATAATATGCTCTGTGCAAACTAGCTTTCGAATTCGTTAGGAAAATCTTCATCAAGCTATCAGCCATTTTATAGTGAAATGCTGTTTCATTTAGTATTCATTGTATTAAAAAGCACGCTTTCTATCGCTTTTTAAAGGTCTTCATGTGTCAAGCAAATTATCATTTGAGTGAATGAACAGGCATGCAAGAAAAATAAAGGATAGAATGAGTGTTTATTTGAATTTTGCGGGAAAAGAAGAGCTCACATCAATGATACTACTGGGTTATGTGAATTTTTAAGATGAAGATGTTTACAGGAAAATTAAATTTTAAACAAGTAATCCATCTTTGACTTTCGTTGCTTCATCTTGACCTTTTAGAAGTTCAATTAATTTCAATGCGAAAAGCATTGTTGTAGCAGGTCCTTGACTAGTAACCAAATGATATACTTTTCCTTCGGCATCTAAAAAGACAAAGTCTAATTAGAACAATAAAGCGATAAAATTTTGTTGACCTTTTTCTGTATGTGTACTATGACAAACAAGGTGGTCAGGTGTATCAAGTTTATACGGTTCACCATCGGTGAATTCCTTGCGTACAGTTGGATAACATGTTATAGTATGTTTATGATCAATACCAATTTTATGAGCTAAAAATGCTCGTGGCCCAGCACAAATAGCAGCAACAACTTTCCCATCTTGATAATGTTTTGTTAAAATTTGTCCAACTTGAGCATTAGCAGCCATTGCTTTCGAACCTAATTTGAAAACAGAAATATAAATATGGCTAGAACTAGTAAGAAAAACTGCTGGAGTTTACTAACCATCATTTCCACCAGGTATGACAACACAATCGTATTGATTATTTTTTATATCATCTAATGATTTATCAGGTACCACATAAACATTACGGCTACATTTTACGGCATCATGACCATTGGCTTCAATTGATACAACATCAACTTCAATTTCAGCTCGTCGAAGTACTAAAAATATGGTATCAATAAATATTTTAGTAATAGAGGCTAAACATATATATATATATATATATACCGTCAATTGTTGTTACTGCTTCGATTTCTTCGCTTCCATTGGAAATAAAAACAAGTGCTTTTTTCGTCATCTGAAAATAAAAATTTATTGATATAGTTTTTTCTGCATCCTATATTCATTATTGTCATGTAACCTAAAATTTGTTTCGAACGATGTAAACTATTTCTTTCATATGAAACCCGTGCTGCGCTTATTTCATTTCTATATATAATAAATCCCAATGGATTTCGAAGTATTATGAACACTACTAATGAATGCAGAAATATTCAACGATACGGTGCGAAAGATAACATTTTCTAATAGTTAGTTAGAATAACAAGTTCATTAATATTTTATATAAATGAATGGTGTGCCCATGTGCCATTGATGGTTCTGTTAAAATAATTATTCACGTATGACTAGAATTCCCTCTACAATTTTACGTTTCAATATCATCAGTGAAAGGTCTCCAGAAACATTTTAAAAATAAATTGAAAATGGGTAAAAAAATTTCACGGTTCACAATAATTCAATTTTCATCAACAAAAGTCTCAGTGATATGTATTCCTTAAAAAACTTATCAAACTAAAATATGTTAAACTAATTATTTTCTACACTTGTAATGAGTATTATCGCACTGCCTAGTCTGGTTTCTAAGATCTCAGAAAGAATTTTCTATATCGTGATGAATTAGAATATGTGAAGTAGAACTGCACTTTCAAGTTACCAACTTCAATTGAAATAACTCTACAAACAATAGTGACTTTTTCAAGTGTGCCAATGATTACGCTAAGATATGATCAACAATATAAATGCGTTTGCCCAATATTTACGAGAAACTGATTATCTGTAAGTAAACATCTCACATAATTAATAGACTTTATTCCCTAAATATGAAGATAGAATCTTTCTTGACGGAATTTTTCGAACGACGAAAAAATATATCAAGCAGTAAAAATGCAATGATCTGTTAGATTTATTTACTTTATTCGAACACAAATTGAATTCAGCGATGTATTTATTTACCACATTACTATGTTCAAAGGAAATGAAATAGATCTGTTTAGATGAAACTGTTATTTAACAGCAATTTAGGGCGCATATAAATGAACTATTAAACAATTTTTTGGTATTCTGAGCTATAAAATACTCGATCTCATATGAAAATCGGCTAGTTGTGATCGATATGATTGAAAAACATGTTTTCTTTTTAAATAGAACTTAAATATAAATAAACACTAAATTTATCATTTTTATCGAATTACTTTCGTAGACTGAAGATGGAAAAGTTAGTTGCGGACGTTACTTCATTTTTTTGCGGCTCTAGAATTGATTTCATCTATATTTTTATTGTCAATAAGTTCAAATAACCCAGCCTAGTTGTCTAGTAATTCTATGACTCATCGTCAATGAACCATTCGTAATGATGAAATTGTTTGATCAACAAAACAATACTTGAATAATTCGTAGAACTTATAGATCGGCCGAAAGAAATTTTGTAAGACAGTTTTCAACCACGAGGTTCTGCCAAATTTTCACCACCATCTTTGACGAGCACATCATGATCGTTTTCATATCTTGTATTGGCATTTTTACTATGACTACAGTTTTCTCAGAACATTGTAATCTTTCATGATTTCCTTGAATTGAATTAGTAGTTACTTCAAAACTACTACGACGAAGAATCTGTCAAGAAAAAAAAAGCAATAGACAAATTCAATTAACTCTTTTCTTACATCGACTATAATAAAACAGCCGAATTTTCTTCACTACCATTTACTAATAAAAATAAAGCTTTCTCAGAGCTAAACATGATTTTCTTTTCGATGAAGATTAACCAACGGCAGTAATAACTAGCAGCAGCACAAAGCAAGCAAATACGAGAAAATAATACAAATGAGTGACTCATCCCATCGACCAATAGTAAACATGTATTATTAGCACCACCTGTGGTCATCTTTTTAGAATACTCAATATTCACTGTATAAGTAAATAAAAATTTCATTATTACAAATGAAACGACAATAATTCAAATTCGTCGATGTAAAGCATTTCTTTTTGTGTTCTCTATTTGTTCTTACGTTTGGTAACATGCTTATTAATATTAAACATATTTCCTTCAGAAAATTGCATGGTGCTATTTAACACCAGCCATGCATAGACTTTTTCAAGAGGCACTTTGCTTTTTTAAAGTAGTTCATCTAAATTATTGAATAAGATCATGTCGAGTATTTAAATGAAATTTCTATGATATACATGAAAACAAATATTAAATCGATAAGTTTTCGTTAGGGCAAGAATAAAATACTTGTCAAATATATTCTTTCATTCCATCTAAAAGTTGCATCCATTGACGAATCAGATAGCTAACTTAATGGTGCATTTAATTTTATTCTATTAAGTATACAACAAAAATAAAATGAAAATTGATGTTACATAGACAAAAGGAAATAGCTTGAACATAAATATATATATCTGAGATTAAATTATTGAACATGTTAAAGGAATTTTTTTCGTTTTAAATTGCTTTTTGTTTAATGAGGTTTCTGTTCAAACTTATCATCAACTGTAGTATTGAGATCTTTGACTTTTTCTTTATTACCATCATATGATACAACACTTGCTGCTTCTAAAATCGTATATATTCTAATTAGCAAACACTAAAAAGAATTTGTTTTAGTACAAACCTTGAACTTTCTCAGCAACATAATGATATGCATTCGAGAGTTTATCACCAATATGACCCATAACACCTCGTTCTTCAACAGTGTCGTTCAAACCTTTTTCATGAGCTAGAAAAAGTTTTAGAGTAATCCATTTTTTTTTCTTGAAACTAACGAAAAGATAGTATACTTTTATCTGTAACAACATCAGGACCTTGATTGGTGGGGGTAGTTGGTGTAGAATTGTCACTTTTAGTTACTACCTTAGCTACTTCGGATGAAACAGTACTTGTTACTTCTAAAAAACACAATAGAATTTCCTGTTAACTATTGAATAGAGTTCGATTCATTACCTTTTACTTTTTCTGCAATAGCATGAGCTGCATCTTTAACGTTTTGCATGATTTCTTAGTTCTTTTTTTTACAACTATAGTAATAAGAAAAAGAAAAGAAGATCGTCGATAGTCGTTTTACTAGTAAATGAGGAATCTACGGAGATTCTAGACACACATATATATATATATATATATATATATAAATTTTTTCTCTCTAGTCGCTCTTTTTTTCCTCTCGGAAAAGACGAGAAAACAGCCCAGACGAACTAGAAGAAAAAGCAGAAGAAGAAGAAGAAGGAGAAGAAGAAGGAGAAGGAGAAAAAGAAGAAGGGGACGAAGAAGAAAACTCAGTCTCAACGAAACAAAACCGTGATGGATACGTGAGGTACAATGTTGGGAAAAGAGGCTTCGCCTTGAACGTTGAACGAACAGAACGACTGAAAGAACTAAAGAGAAATCTCATATATCTATTACATATTAGAATTGTCCCCTTGCGATAGTTGTTTTTGAGATTGCTAATTGCATCTATTTCATAATTTGATGTATTTTCGAATATATTAGATGTCATCATTAATGAAATAAAGTCAACAAAATAAGAAGAATCGTTCTTACCTCGCTTGAATAGTTTCCATTGCACATCACTCTCGCTAAATTTAGTCATACTTGAACCTCTATGCAAGTGAATAGTTTTATCTCATAAATCTGATTGCTCGTGATATGACTCTTGACTTGAGACAAAACTGATAAAATACTCATATATATATATATATATATATAAAGTTGAATTGAAATCTGATAAGGGTAATTTGAAAGCAGTGTAGTGAAATATGCTAAAGAATAATGTCATTCTCGATATCACAATTAATGCCAAGAACAGTTCACCGATAGAGAAGTTCTAGATAAGAGAGCTCACCGGGGATTTAGCGGAATTGGCTCAGTTTGTGACTCAGTCAAACACGAAAGCTTGAAACACGCGTGTATCTACGAGTAAAACACGACATATAAGTGTGCGATTTGTTTTCATTTGATAAAAATCAATACGCAGAAAATAATCGAGTATGTGTAGACTGAGAATTTTTCAAAAAATTGTAAGTAGACATACATTGAACTGATCTTCAGCACGAGTGAATAGACAAAATTAAATACGTATGGACTGCAGGATTAATTTTTGATTAATTCTTTCATAAATTTTCTACCTTGAATCAGTGTAAACCACATTTTAAAAAAATCCGTAAGGAAATGCAAGAATATCTCATGAATAAATGAATCCATTTTTTGAGAGACCTTCAGAAGAAAAAGTCATCCGAACAGACCGTTACCAGCATAGTGCACTGACACACAACTTTACTAAACTTTGAAGTATTTCTTAGAAACACTTTTTTTTAAACAATCGACATTCATGTAGAAGAAGAAATATTTTGTACATGAATTATCTCTTGTTAGACACCTTGAGTCTTAGTTTTGAATAATTTTGGCTTCACGATATTTTACATTAAATTCAAATTTAAAGAGCCCATCTTGTTTCAATATAGTTTCATGGCAGCTCAAGAGCCAATACTATTTAACTCGGATCAGAACGGATGCTTCCCATAGAAAAACGGAAGTCACCGCGTGTTGAAAGTTCGAATATTGAAAGTTCATTAGAAACTAATTATTACTCACTGATTCAATATCTATGAGTAACAATTAGTGCATCGTTTCGTTTCCAACATATACTCTCAATCCTACTAAGATCATGTATTCCAGTTGCTACTGATCAAATCATTCATGGCAATTTTTCACTGATGAACTAATTATGGATTTCAACAAATTTTTCGTTGACGTACAGTCGGTTAATATGGAAAAGGAATATACGTAAATGAATTGAGATAGTGTTTCTTAGTTCTTTTGAAACCTGAGGAAAAATAATTAGCTCGAAAGAAATAAATCATATGGGGCTATGAATAAGTTCGACCATCTTTTTCTATGATGATTGTGTAACCTGAAGACAGAATAGTTGTATTTTTCGTCAATCGATATTGCTTGTCTTGTACTAATTACTATCTTTCGAACGCATGTCAACATGAATTAATTTCATAGATTTAAGGAAGCGTGTAAGACTGAAAAGAGGAGGTTAATATATACGTTCGCATCCACACCCTCTTCAAATGAATGAGCTAACTAGCTGAATTCGAATTTTTAAACAATATTTTATCGACTTTTCAATAATGTTTTATTAATTGCCCACAATAGTTTTTACCAGGATTCAAAATAGTTCATCCTCAATCACCCCTACCTGCTTGTATAAACGCTCTCAAGTGGAAATGCAGCTATAGAAGTTGCTGCAGTATTGAGTAGTACTCCGGTTGAAAATTTGTAAATTGGTTATTCATGCAAAAAAAACACGAATTCCTTGTTTTCTCTCTCCATTACTTATTCACTCGATGTAAGTGAACAACTAACGCTTCGTTGCTTTCGAAGCTAAAAATAAAATTTAAGGTAAAATGCTCTCTGCTACAGTTGTCTATGAAAAACAAACGTAACAATATTTTGCACATAATATTACTAAAAGACACGGCTTTCATACTCCCGATTCGATCGTTGAGTTTGTAAAATTTATTTATCAGGAATCAGAACGCATATCGCTTTATGCGTTCGCCTGTCATTGCATAAATGATTCGATAGAAACCAACTAATGAATTACACATTCTAACTTCACAACTATGCATCTCAAAGCATTTCTTGTTTTGTTAGTAGTTTCTCTTTTCAGTTTTTTTACTGTAACAAGTGGTAAGAATGAACATTGGCTCACAATTAACTATAAAATTCCGATTGGAGGACTTCTATGCACAAATCCAGGAAGATAAGGCGGTGAAAAGGTTTGCGATTATTATGGTAAAATACTTATGCCACTATTCATTGCATTGAAGTCTCATTTTATTTTCAGGTAAATATTGTGGTGAAGCTGTGAGAAATAGTTGATTTATTTTATTTTTTCTTCAAAAAGAAAAGGACAGAAATTGTGCTGGAGATGGACGTCCAACAAGTAGTTGGAGGCCAGGCACAAAAGTAAACTCTTACAAGTTAGAGTTTACTGATTTAAAAAGGATTTTTTCGGATTCGTGACGAATAGATTCCATTCGGTACAGCTATTGCAGCATTCTCAGGCGGTAGATACGGGGGGGGGGGGCCCCCTTCGTTTTATATAAAATTGTTTTAGTGGCGTGGCCATCGGCTTGGAGCACGTACTATTCCTTGGAATGGCGCGGGCATTTCCAATTATGGTGATAGTTTCTACGGCATTAACTAAAAAACGTCAACCTCAAAATAGAGAAAGCGTTCAATTTTTTTCAAAGCTTTTGTGAGAAAAGCAAAGACCTTCACCTAAATAAATCATTCAGTATCATCGAAGTATTGCGTTGTCTTTTTGCATCGTGTGTAACTTCAAGCTAAAAAGCTTTCGCGATGAGATTTATGTTGTTTAAATGGTTGTTTATCAATATTATCAATAAAAAATGATGTTACAGTATCCACAAAAGTGAAAACATTCCGATCAGATTAATAATTTCCTTCTGCAATAGTAGAAAAAGGGCTCCTTGGAAGAACTGATGAATTTCTTCTAGACTTAACATTCAATATCTATCGTAGTCAAGTGGAAATCTAAGAGCAAGATCATCGAGATTTGCATCAATAATTTATAGATCTTTGAAAAATGCTCCTATTAATGAAATATAACTTAATCTCGACCGTCCATACTCTTCTTCTGTGATATACAAAACGGAAATAAGTAAGTATCACTGTTTTAGATGTAAATTTGTAAATTATTTATTCATACAAAAAAGTGGTCACCTCTTTTCTGTATTCATTACTTATTCATTAAATGTCTATGAATCATTACCGCTTCGTTTCATAGAAAGTCAGCCATTTAATCTACGAAAACTGCCCTCTGTTGTCCTCGTTGATCATGCAAATTGTGACAATAGTTTAAGCATGAAATTACAAAAAATAAAAAGCAATAGTTCTTCTTTTTTTAGTCGATAAATCTCGTTAGAAATTATTTATCGAAGTTTCGAGAATGAATATTATTGTATTCTGCTTTGATAGTATAAATACATCGAGACCGACGCCGCAACCACTTATTCATTGTAATTTCAAATTATGGACATCAATAAATCCCTCGTTTTATTAGTGGTCGCGCTTGTCAGCTTGGTTTCCGTAACAAGCGGTAAGCGTAATTGTACGAAAATAGACGACTAGATTTTTTTCAACTTTCAGGAATCTCATGTATCAATCCTAGTAAATACAGTAGTCAAACGATTTGCGACCATTTTGGTATGATATCAATTTTTCTCCCTGTTGTTGAAATACAACTATGCCTGATTTTTAGGTCGAAAATGTGGTGAATGTGTAAGTTTTGTCAAGTAAGCTTCATTTAGATTTAATGTAATTTATTTATATCTTGTACTAATGAAAACAGAAAGTGCACTGGTGATGAGCGTAGAACAAATCAATGGAGACAAGGCAGAAAAGTAGACGGAGACAACTTAGAATTTATTGATTTTAAGAAGATTTATATAGGTTCGTGACGCATCGATTTCACCTGGTACAGCTATCGCTACATTTCCTGATGGTGCATATTCGGGCCACGCTGCAATCTATATGAGCCAAGGTCACAATGGTATACATGTTTGGGATCAAGTAAAGTTATTTTATATCGAAATACTTTATTTTTATAAAATTGTTTTAGTGGTATGGTCATCCAGTTTCACAGCGAATCATTCGTTGGAATGGTCATGGACTTTCAAATAATGGTGACAGCTTCTACGTAGTTGCTTGAGAAAGTGTAAGATTATTTTTTAATTCGGAAAAAATAAAATTTCAATCAAACCGATCAACTATATGCAGTCATGAGTGAGTTAAATCTCGATTTCGTGTGATACATGAGATCAGACTACAAGAGCAACTACATGACAGTTGTGTTCATACTTCTCTATTCAGAAATTCGAACGCATCTCTTGAATGATTTCTGGAATTCGAAGTTCAATGAAAACATTTTCATATAGTCTTTATATTAATAAAAGGTAATTATACTAGAGTCTTCGCGAACATTGATGATTTTCATCTAGAGTTAACATTCCATTTCTATCTCTACTCCGTGGAGAACTGGCTACAAAAGTTCAAAATATTTCATAATATTCCGAACTGCTGAATCATTCATCGAGATTCGAAGCAAATATTTATTGTCAAACTAGAAAAACAAACGTTAGTATTTTTTGAAACAATAGTTTATAGATCTTTCAACAACGCTCCTGTCGATCAGCTAATACTTATTCTCGACCGTCTCTATTTCCTTGCACTGACATGAAAAACGGAAATAATCGAGTGTTAATATTTCGGATATAAGCTTGTAAATTGATTATTCATATGAAAAACTGATCCCCTATTTTCTCTATTCATTACTTATTCACTAAATTTTCTGGTAAACTGCACTTTGTTGCACTTGTGGATCAAACAAATCACGGCAATGCAAAGCAAGTCTTGATTATTTATGGAATGAGAATGTAAAATTTATTTATCGAGGTTTCGAGAATGAATATTATTTATTTTGTTATCGTAGTATAAGTATGTCGAGACAAACGAAATAATCATTGATATCTTGTAACCTCAAAGTATGCACATCAACACATTTCTCATTTTATTAGCAACCACGTTTTTCGGCCTTATTTCTGTAACAAACGGTAAGACTGATTATATGATGACAGTTGACTAGACTTTCTTTTAATTTTAGGAATTTCATGTCGTAATCCTGGTGGATACGAAGGCCGAAAGGTTTGCGATCAGTTTGGTAACATATTCATTTTTTCCTCTTCTTGATGATATACAGTTATTTTTGATTTTCAGGTGGCCAATGTGGTCAATGTGTAAGTTTTGTCAAGTAAGTTTCATTTAAACTCCATATAATTCAATTCGACCTTTAATAATTAAAACAGAGTGTGCACTGGTGATCAGCGTGCTACATGGCAATGGAAACAAGGAGCAAAGGTAGAGTGATACAATAGTGAAATCTATTAATTTCTATAAAGATTTATGCAGGTTCGTAACGCACCAATCTCATATGGTACAGGAATCGCCACATTCCGTAACGGTCAATATTCTGGCCATGCTGCTATTTATGTTGGTCAAAACAGTAACGGTATTCAAGTTTGGGATCAAGTAAAGTTATTTTATATTGAAATACTTTATTTTCATTAAATTATTTTAGTGGGTTGGTCACCTTGTTTCATCGCGAACTATTCGTTGGAATGGCAATGGAATTTCTAACAATGGTGACAGTTTTTATGTAATTGAATGAGAAAACGTTTGATCTTCTTTTAATTCTGAAAAATATAAAAGTTTTAATTAAATAAATACTAAAGAGTCATTGACGTGCTCAATCACCATTTTCTATGCTGCATACTCCTAGAAGAAAAGCATTCAGTTCAGTGAATGTTTGGTCATACTCATTCGCTTTAGCTTCATTGAATGATGTTTTTAATAATTTATGAAAAATATATTAGTTCGATAAGATTTAAAAAATTCGTTGCATTGAATAGAGGAGGCTGATACATGAATGTAAACATTTCCCTGATCGATAAGACAAAATATAGACATAATCAATAGCAATGCATAGAAATCCAGATTGATTGGTCACTCTAACAAGAATTACTGAGTTCATTATGACAGATCAAACTCAGTTTAACGACTAATATTATTTTGTTCGTATAAAAAATTAATGTGAATATTATCTAATAATTTTTTCAGCGAATATTATGGTAATATTGCTTAAAATGCATGAAACATGATAGTTCTTATAACTTGATGTGCGAGAAAAATATGGCCGATAATTATGCAGATATCTTATGTTACACTAGCGATGCAACATTCGATGCTAATAAAAGGATATAATTCAAAATGGCATCTAATCACTGTATCCAAAAGAAAAAAAACACCTTGCGAAGCAAGATTAATTGAAGTGTTGGATTGGACAATGGACTAGATGTGCTCATTAGATTAACTTGTAAAGATTGTTTAGGACAAGAGCCAATAAAACTAGGCTTTTGTGTTGTAGGAGCTAGATCTCTATCTAAATAATGAAGACATCCTGAAGTCAAGGTTTTGACAAAGCTTCTCATTCTTAAAACTAACGCACCAACTAACTTATTTCGAATCCGATGTTTATTTTTTTTTCAAACATCGTGTAAGTCGTAGAATATTAAAACTTCTGATAGAATTCTGTACATTGATTGATGAAAAGAAATGTATTGACTACGTCTAGATAGATCTCACGCCATTGTACTTAAAATTAACTACTAAATTCTATTTTAACGTGTCCCGTGCTGTAGCTGAGAATCGAAGGAATCGTAGTAATATTTTTTGCATGGAATTATCAAAATGAAAAAAAGATACATCTTCTCGATTTCGTTGATAAGAATATAAAATTTATTTACCAACGTTTCGAAAATCAATATTTTTGTGCTATGCTATCTTCTTATAAATATGTCGATAAAAACAAACCGGTGCACAAGAAGATAAATTTTTAAACACGCGTTTAAAGGTAAAAAAAGACGAAAAATTGAGAAAAGCTGGGCGTGTTTGCATGGCAATTGGGATTTCCGACTATGAGCGATACCCCCTCCCCGCCTTTCCGCCCTTCTGCTTACAACACGTGCAAATGCAGAAGAAGGAAGGAAGAGAAGGGGATGTTTACCGTTCATAGTTGGGAATCCAAATTGTCATCCGAACACGCTCAGTTTTTGTCTTTTGTTTCGAACGTTTAAATGCGTGCTCAAAAATGTTTGTCTCCTAGGGTGACCTATTAGTTCTTACTTTCACATATGCGCATTAACATCATTGTTGTATTATTGTTGGTTACACTTTTTAGTTTGGTTTCCCTAACAAGCGGTAACAATCATTGTTAAATCAAGATAAACAATCCTATTTTTATTCTAGGGATTTCATGTAACAACCCAGAACGATATAGTGGCAGAAATGTTTGTGATCATTCTGGTAAAATCATCATTTCCCTATTTACTACATACAGTCGTATGCTACTTTTAGGTGACTATTGTGGTGAATGTGTAAGCTTTGTTAAGTAAGTTTTATTGACAGCTTCGATAGTTTATTCTGTATTGAATAAAAAAAGAAAATGTACTGGTGATCGCCGCGCAACAAGTCAATGGAGACAAGGAAAAAGAGTAGAGTGACAAAATATTTAAGCCTTTTAATTTTTATAAATATATGCTCAGGTTCGTACTACACGTGTTCCATATGGTGCAGCTATCGCTACATTTCCCAATGGTAAGTATTCAGGTCATGCTGCTATCTATATTAGCCAGGACAGCGTTGGTATTCAAGTTTGGGATCAAGTAAATTTATTGAATTTTGAAAATACTTCATGTACAGGAAACATTTTTAGTGGCGTGGTCATACTGTTTCAAAAAGAACGATTCGTTGGAATGGCACTGGACTTTCAAATAATGGGGATAGTTTTTATGTCATTAACTAAGAAAAATAAACTATTACCTTGTAAACGTGTTTCGTTGTGTTTTTAATTCTCAAAGAAACAAAGCCATTTTAAGCAAATAAATTATATAGTCGTCAGTAACTTCTACTCTTTTTTGTAAGAAATCTAATCTTTAAAAAAACATTTTGATCATGGATCAATGGAAATTGTTTTCTATGTATCGATTACTGTTTTATCACTATCAATTGTCTGTGATTAATTCAATGATATTTATCTATTTTTCAAACTTATGTCGAAATCGAATCATCAGTGATCATGGAATATCTTTTTCACCTCTTATGCAAATCATCAGAAAGAAAGAAAGCGAGTAATTAAAAAACATTCGAGTATCATCAATGTATTCTCTAGCGACATCTTTTTAGTTAGAACTTACATGGTGCGCGATTCTCGTTTAGGAAAAAAAACTTCACTCTATCACCGGAGTATAATCACATCGAAAAGTATTAATACACAATTTTTCTTTGCATCCTAGTATTGACAACGGAGGACATGTGCTTGGCAACATGGTATTATCTCAATCACTTTTACAGAACCATTCGGTGCCTTAAATCGCCTCTGAAAAATCTTCAATTTCCATTTCAATGGTAAAAAATCATCTATTGTTTTCGATTGGAATCATATCTTCGTTCTTATTTCCATGTAGGCCACAACAACAAATCAAATCAAACGCCCAGCACTTGGTGGTGGTGCCAAAAAACGATCCACTGGCTCTCGACCTGAATTAACTGAAGAACAAAAAACAGAGATTCGTGAAGCTTTTGATCTATTCGATGCTGATGGCTCAGGAACAATTGATGTTAAAGAACTTAAAGTTAGTATTAATACGAAATATCTATAGTTATATAACAATTTAATTCAGGTAGCCATGCGAGCACTAGGTTTCGAACCAAAAAAAGAAGAAATCAAAAAGATGATATCTGATATTCAAAAAGAGAATGCTGGTAAATAAGATAGAAAAAAAACATTTTCTAAATAGAAAGGTTAGAATTTTTTCCTATGTTTAGGTACAATTGACTTTAATGATTTTCTACAATTAATGTCACAAAAAATGGCTGAAAAAGACTCAAAAGAAGAAATACTCAAAGCATTTCGGTAATTAAGAAAATGAAATTTTCTTCATATAAATCTGCTTTTGTTTTCATAGACTTTTCGATGATGATAATACAGGAAAAATTTCATTCAAAAATCTAAAGCGAGTTGCAAAAGAATTAGGTGAAAATTTAACTGATGAAGAATTACAAGTAAATCCATTTTTAGAATAATTTTCAATATAATTCATTCGTTCGTGTTTTTTTTTGTTGCCTGTAGGAAATGATTGATGAAGCAGATCGTGATGGTGATGGTGAAATAAACGAACAAGAATTTTTACGAATCATGAAAAAAACATCATTATATTAAAAAACATTTCGTTTATCTCTTTCTTTCTTTATACTACGTATAACATTTTTTTTGTCAGGTATTCATTTTATTCCATTTTATAGTGTCAAAAGAAAACAAAATAATAATGATTCAAATCTTCCACTTATATATATTTGCATATGTTGTTTTTTTTTGGCATGTTTGTATCAGTATTTTATGCCTTATACATATGCATTAATGTGGAACGTAATATTTTCCACCTACATACAAACATAATTTGATATTTTTTTCTCCTCTTCATTATCTAACGTATCGATCATTTGCAAACAATCAATCACTAGCATATGGAGGAGAATCGGCCAGGTAAGGCGTGCAGATTGATGGTTATTTGACATAATAGCACGAATACTGGCAGACGAAATTCTAGAAGAAGACTATGGGCAATGTAATACATCGATCATTGGCGGAAAGGGATGTCATAAGAAAACGAAAAAATCAACGTAATAATTTAGATTTTTCGCGTGAACCTGATGTTGTTGCTACGCAAAATAGCTGTGAAAGTGATGATTGGAAAGGTGATTTTATTGAAAGATATGAAGTATGGAATGAGACATTTGATGAACAACCACTGATGAACACCAATGGTAAGATGTTAGTTTGATGAAGGTCATGATCACTAGCGGATTGGCGTGGTTTTATCTAAGTAGATACTGAACTAGAAATAGTGATGTAAAGAAAAGATCTACGATAATCGATCATCATCGTACATTTGACCCAATTTTATTCATTCAAAATAAATATTCTTAATAACGTAATTATTTGTAAGATGATAGATACTAATAGTTAAAATGATGTCATTTTTCTAGTAATCGAACAGAAGCTTTTTGATTCTGACCTTGGATTGACTATAAAATGAGAAGCAAATTGTTGCTAATCATAGACAAATGTTTTCCTATTTATTTATCTGTTTTGAGACACATGTCATCGCTATCCTTTGCCTTAATCCTCTATAAATGCAATAAGTACATAATACATGTATTATAATGAGACCTTTCTTTTTTTGATATACTGCCTTTATTCGGTTCGGTTTAAAATAACCGAACGATAAAATGTCAAAAGGACGAATATGAATGTATATGATGAGCAAGGTAAAACATTTATTTTATTCAATAAACTTTGTTTGTCTGGGCTGCGGGATGTATTTGTATTATCTGTAGAGACTCAAACTTTCGATATTCTTTCGTTTTACTCGTTGATACATATTTCTATCCTTTGCACTACAACATTGTTTATTGATATTGTTACAAAAATAGTATCAGTTTAGACACGAATTCTCTGATGAAGTTCACTTATGATTCGTTTTTTTTTGTAGAAGATCTTTTAACTTAAAATAATAGAAATAATTTTATTGAAATTTATTTCGATTAGCTTTGAAAAACGACCGGTCGAATCGGAATAGAATATCGCCAATTTAATCTGCTTTGATCCGAATTTTCGTTGGGATTTCTTACATAGGCTTTATACTCCCACAACTAAGCAATATATTTGTAAACGAGTATTTTCGAGGCACCATCAAAAGTCTCAAATCATCTGAATTTCACTAAATAGGAGCAGTTTAGTTTCTTTGAAATTGATGTTTAGATATGATGAAAATTCAGACATAAGAGTATCTACGAACACATCGACAAAGACGATAGTACTAATTTTGTGAGAAACGAAGCAACGCCAATAATATGCTCTTCAATTTCTCTTTGTTACCACCCTTTCACAATGATAAGAAACAGTCATGTTCATTTTACTACGGACTTGAATCGTACTGCTCCGTGTAATGTAATTGAACTGAACATTTTTCTTGATTAAATAATAGCTATTTGTTTTAGAAGATCCACCTGGTGCGCCCAATATGTATTCATCGAACCATTCAATTATTCACAATGATTTAGCAAATCAAATATGGAGATTATCTCATCAGGCCAACAATTCCTTTCATCCAATGAATTCACTATCAAGTACATCATCTTATAACATTCCATACGTTTCTACTCAAAAGCTTCGTACTGAACTTCCTACAATGATTAGCAATCAATCGCAAAATATGATGTTCAATGAGCGTTTATCGAAAAAAGAACAATACGCTCTAAAATCTTTGACAAATACTCAATCTTGTCGTCTATCCAGCAGCACAACTGATGATATGGCCTTGTCAACCAAAAAGATAAAACCTGTAAGATTATCACATCGCGCACCTGTACCCGAAACAAAAACAGTTGCGTCTAATATATCAATAGGAAAGCCTCCTGTTAAAAAAGCTATTTATCTAAGTATAGATCATCGAGCAACGTTAGCAGAACGTTGTCATACAGTCGCTAATGAACAGCATCGTAGAAACCTTGAACATAATTATATGAATGGATTGAATTCATCGACAAATAGTTGCCAAACACATCCTTACATAACTCACCAGTATCAAAATGTAAATGATTCCTCTAATATGAACATATACGCCACATCCAATAAATCATTCGATATGTTACAAAACAAGTTATCTAATACAAATCATCGCAGAGAACATTCTAGTTCAATAAATAGGTTGGCACAGGATATTGACGAAGCGTCATTGATTCATAATGAAATTCCACAATCAAGGCCTAAAAGTGATCGTCGAGCACAATCCTTGGCTAATCGACGAATAAGATCATCGAAAAGTCGTGAAAACCATCAACATAATAAGCAAGAGCATTTTGAAACTGTTTCAAATGAATTACATTTACCTAAACAATATTCAATACGTCGCATCGATAACAAAACTTCTAATATATCTACAAATCATCGTCAATATCAAACATAATCCATCCTACCATTATCAAAGATTCATGCAGCGAATATTATTCGAGAAGCAAATTTGAATTTTTGAATTCGTTCTATTTTTTTTAGTATCTAAATAAATCTTGATCTAAAACGATAAGATTAACTTTTCTTGAGAAATTTAATTAATATAAAGGGTGTGTGGGTGTGGGTCAACTTAACCAGTAATGCTGATGCGTATCAGCAACCATGGGACACGTTTAGTTTGAAACGCACCGTGAATTTATCATTTACGTATTGAAAATAAAATTTTCGTTCGTTTTTATTTTACAACAATTCTTTGATGAAAGCCTAATCGAACATTGCCTGACTAATTATTAGAGTTGCCATGAATAGTACCGGGAAAATTTCGTTTTGAGTGCAAGATGTTCAGAAGTATCAATATTTAGAACTAGTAGTATTTCAATTACAAAAAAAAGAAATATCTACGCCAGCTAAAATACAGATTTGCTTGTTTTGAATATGTTAATTTTTATGAGTTATCGTAGGTTGTAGTTGTATGTATGCTATTATTCAGAAGTAACTAATCACATTCAACTAGGTCAAAATTTATGTACGAATAAAAAGAAAATCTATGTGTTGACTCAATCATCGATGATTTCGCATTTGTAACCGTTGGAGAACCGTCTTTGGAGAGTATCAAAATCGATGCCTAACAAGCAGCAATTTTTATTATTACATATATGCGAATTGTACCACCATTGGGAATCCGGTAGTAAACCAGGATGATCATTTGTAACACGAATCATTAGTCCAGTGCAAACAATAGAAGAATCTGGATCATTAAAATCTACAATGCTTTTGTTTTGACTATTAATCAGCCATTCGATAACTCCATTGTCTATGTTATAATCAATCGTTGTATTGCGGGCATCTAATGTTTCCCTTGCTTTTTTCCTGATATTATTGGGATGAACACGACACTCTAATACAAATTGTACGTATTTACCCGATTTGAAAAATTTCCTTTGGCTTGATGAATCAAGTAGTTTCACTTCAGCATATCTTGGATGACACGTATATATTATCGATGGAGAAACATATATACCTGCGCCATGTTCATTTCTCTCTGCTGGTTTTAATCCGTTCAATAAAATAGATAAACCATACGTAAATTTTGTACCATGATAACATATGCACCATCCTTTGAATTTTTCAGAGAAACGATCAGTAACATAAAACGAATATCGTTTCCATCCAACTGGACAATAGTAAGGGCTGTCACCACGATCTATTCCATCTTTGATAGGCCCTTGCCAAAAACAATGACCAGGTTTATATATACGATTATATTGAGGATTGAGATTAATTTCAGCACGATATTTTTGCTGTTTAAACAGCGCTTTTATAGGACCCATGAACATGAAGAAAACCTTCAGCTTAGCCAATTCTTCGCGTAATTTGTCGGTAAATAATTTACACATCATTTTTATAGATAGTTTTTTATCACTCGATTCAAACTTATTGAATATCACTGCTTCTATTATGGATGAACCCACTTGTATTTGTTTGATTTGCATGTCTTTGGGTGATAACTTTATTTTACCACAAAATTCAGTGATAAACGCTTGTAAATTCAATTGATTGCAATCTTCATCAATACAAATTTTCATAGATGAAGTCGCTAATTCCATTGAATTATCAAAGACTTCTTCCGGGATTGAAATTAATGGTTGGCCTGTTAAATGATAGTATTCTTTACATTCTTCATAATAAATCTTTTCTTCTGGTCTCAACGGTTGTTGCGACATAAAATCTCTGGTATGTAGACTGGTATCTTTTTCTAAATAAACAAATTAGCATTATCAGAGCAATCGCCCTCTAAATATTGGTTTTTATCTTCGATATAAGTTATATGGAGACAGATTTGAATACGGTTTCATAACGGTGAAATTGAGATATTCTATAAAACTTGATCGATAGTATGACCTATGGTGAATCTCATTTTAGCAATGTATCAAAACATATACTTTCGGTTAGATTTTTGAAGCCTAAGAAAACTCTTCTGCATTATTAGGAATGCTGAATGATCAAGAAAAGAACAGCTTACATACCGGCACCCCATCTACTTTGTTCACTTGAAAAGAAACATATGGGAAACATTCATTTAAATCTAACGTTGTGAGTTTTGCGTTTCTTTTTTTTGTATACCTTACCTACGACAGGCACAATCACTTCATTGAGATAAATTTTTTCTTTCAGATCTAGTCCATTAATACACAAGGTTTTATTTGTACGATTGCTTTCTCGGTACACATGATCGGCTACGTCTTGCAGAACAGTAGTTATATGGGTATTTTCTCGGGTTATATTCCTTAATAAGTGTTTGCTGAACAAGCAATTTCGACCCGTTGGTCGAACGTCATTTACTGTTTGACTAGAAGCACACGCAAATTGGATTAGAGCACCAGGACGTGATTGAATTTCACACAAGGATTTGGCTTCAACAATAGCTAAATTTATGGAACTTCTTTATTTTGAAGCATATAAATATTATCACTTACGAGTAGATGCCGATGGATTCTTCATTGTGTATGGTATACAACAATCCAAAATAAATATAGTTGCGTAAGAAGAATTTCTTTCTAATAGACGCGTAATTGTTCGTTCAACATTCACTGCAAAATCTTCAACGTCTCTATCTGTTTGTATTGTGGCATCATCAACAGGTATAAGATAGTTCTTCCCATTTAATCGGCAACCATGACCACAAAAATAGAATAAAACCAAGTCTCCATTTTTGATCAATTCAGAAAAATCGATTATTTGTGAAGTCATTTCTTTTTTTGTCAAATTATTGGCTGTTTTCACATCGAAATTAATTTTTTTCAGAGAATCACGTAGATCATTGGCATTGCTTATAGATTGGCTCAGCTTGTTGGATTTTTTTTGATAATTACCATTGCTGATGATTAAAGCTACCTTTCGACACGAAGATGAATCTACTACTTTAGCAGTTGCCATTTCTGATCGAAATCTGAAAATATTAAATAGAATAATGTTCATATTTTGAAATCGATAGAAGATTCATCAAGACCCATAACTTTGATGTTTCATTGTTTACTCTGCTAGTAAAATTGAAAATGAATTTTTTAGTTAACATTGTAAACCGTCGATTGGATTTGTTTCATGCCATCAGTCCTATACGTTGTTTGGACAATCTTTGCCTATCACGGTTATGAGTAAGTCTTTATAGTTATTTCTTCACCATCATTCTGATACTCAATTAAATTGTAGTTTCTGAGTGACTGCCGTGCCTTTACGGTGTGAGTGTGGACCCCTATTTTACTACAAAATCAATAGCCCTACTTGCTATAATTGCTGAACATTTAATTTGAAGTAAAAACGAAGTGCACGGCCCCTTTTTTATCCGTGTACAACGATTAAGAATAGACAAAAGCAAGCAATAATATCTTTATTTTCTCTTATACTAATAGCCCTCAAGATACTTCCGACAAAGGTAGCACAATTGCTTGGAATGCTTAGTCATCGAATGATGCCATAGTTAAGGAAATATGGTATCGATAGGAATTGAGAACTTCCGATTTTACGGCTAGAATGAACTGTCAGATGTGACCACTAGCAACAGGACCCCCGAGGACATATAAATTCATTCGTTTATACTTATAAAATAAATTGGGAAAAATGAGTGACGCTTTAATAAACTATCTCTATCTGTTTAATATTCTCCACTCATTGTTTTTGAAGAAATAGTATTGCCTGGTCTTCAATTTTCAGAGACAAAGCAGCATTCACTTATCTTTATTCCATAAAGTAACACTAAAAAGCCAGCCTTACTTGTACACAATAGGCGAACATAGAAAGGTAGCCGATGTGTACATAAAAAAAAAAAACATTTTTTTTATGCTGCTTTCAACAAAAAAATGCTTCAAAATTTTCTCTGTTGATTGCTTTTCCTGTTGACGAATCAAAAACAGAAGCAGAACAAGTGACATTCGTCTCTGTCATTTTATGTAACGTAGCATATTTTTTTCTTTTTTATTGATTAATTTCACAATGGCAGTTCAGTTTGCCACCTGTCTTTCAGGCGTGCAACTTCCGTAGAAATCACTTCTTTTTTTCAAGAGAATGGTAAGTGTGAGTATAAAATAAGATTATGCAGCTCATCTCATCTTATTATTGACACGATTCCGTATTGCTCCAACAAATGATCGATAACATTCCATTACAGGCATACGAAAATAGATATTACTAAAATTAAATTATCGCTCAAAATGAATGCATTCTTCTATTCCAGTTTTCAGATTTCGTTAGTAAATGGCAAGTCCCAAAAACAATTTATTTCCACACCGAAAGCTAGCTCTGATCATCGGTAATGGCAACTACCGTAAAGAATGCAATAGATTGAATCAATCTACACAGAATGCAAATGATCTGAGTGATTTACTCAAGAGAATCGCATTCGATGTGACGATGCATGTCAATGTTAACACAGATATGATGAAATTGGTAAAAAGTTTCTGCGAAAAAATCAAGAAGGACGACTTCATCTTATTTTATTTTGTTGGGCATGGATGTCAAGCCGATAATAAAAACTATCTGATACCTTTGGACGATTCTAGAATAAAAGCAGAAAATGATGTAGCAGATATTGGTACCGAACTGCAGCGTATTATGGATCGATTGATAGAAAACAACTTACCATACGTGACTATATGTATCTTAGATTGTTGTGTGCCATACAAACTAACATGCCCACCAACTTCAGTTGGTAAGGAACATTATTTGTGCCTTTCAAAAGTATAAACTTTGTATTTCTTTCGATTCAGTAGAAGCTAAACCCTTGCATGGTATTCACCTAGATCCGGAAGTATCATTACAAATTGTATGCACTACAAACGAAGATGTTAGTGGCGTTCGAGGAACAGGTCGAAATTGCTTGTTTACTAAACATTTATTGAGGAACATTAAGCGAAGCAATGTCGATACCACCACCATGCTTCAAGACGTTGTCAATAATGTGTATCGGGAAAATAATCAGATGCACAAGCCAATATTTCTAAACGGATTACCCGGAAATATCAGAGCATTTTTCAATCGAGTTTCATATAGTACGTATAAAATATAATTGAAATGTTTATATGTATGATCCATATATGATAGGAATCTTGAAATTCTTTGTCATTCTATTACCAATTCTATTCTTTTCTATGATCGTTGAGTCAAGCTAAGGATTAATATTTGTGAAACTCACATATATTTTCGAACAAAATGATGATTAGTAGTTTGACAACGAGGTTTTTCTAGCTTCTCACACTGTCCTACCACAGAGATGAATAAATTCACCATGTTGCTGATTAGAGACTAGTAAACAAATACCCCCACTCCTCCCCACTTAATACAGAGACTTACGCAACTAGATTTTAGAGACCAGATACGTTTTTCCAGGTCATTTTTTTCAGTACGACAACATATTAAGTCTATCTTCACTAGGCTCATGGATGCTTCTAAAAATAGGTTTCACTTCGATCAAAACCTTTTCTGTCTTGTTCGTTAATTGTAGCTATACCAAATATTCCATACAATGCCAAATGGAGATTGAATGCTAAGACTGTAGCTGGTGGTGCAGGTCCTGATTCTACACTCGATAGACTCCATTGTCCTAAAGGTCTTTATGTTGATAAAAGTAAAAATCTTTTCATCGCTGATAGCTTGAATCATCGTATTATGAAATATTCTCCAGATGGCACTATTGTTAGAAGAATATTGGGGAAGAATATATCTGGATATGGTTCTAATCGTTTATGTGGACCTTCAAATATTATTTACAATCATGTGTCAAAGAATTTTATTATTTCTGACTTCCATAATCAACGGATATTGAGATTGATTCGAAAAACTAAGACATGTGCTAAGGAAATATTGAGAGGCAGTGGCTATTGTGGATTAGCGATGGATGATGATGGTTTTCTCTACGTTTCTGACACCGAACGGCATGAAGTCAGACGTTATGGTTCTGGTAACCCCCATGGAAAAGTGGTGGCAGGTGGTAATGGACAAGGTAGTCGTTTGAATCAACTCAACAATCCAACATACATTTTTGTCGGACCAGACCAAGCAGTGTATGTATCTGATAGTTGGAATGATCGCGTTGTGAAATGGGACAGAGGTGCTACACAAGGTATTGTTGTGGCTGGCGGTCAAGGCAAAGGCAAAGGTAAAACACAATTGTATCATCCTACAGGATTGATCGTTGATCAAGTGGGAACACTTTATGTTGCTGATTATCGTAATAATCGAGTAATGCGCTGGTACAGAGATGCTTCTCATGGAAATATCATTGTGGGCAGTATATTCCTTGCAGGAAACAAAGCAAATGAATTGAGTGGTCCTGAAGGTTTGGCATTCGATCACGATGGTAATCTTTACGTATCTGATTCTAACAATCATCGAATCCAACGATTTCGTATTCAGACTGTTTGATTTTATTTCTATTTTTATTCTTACTCAAAATCAGAATAAAACGATGTAGTGCTTATGTTGATGAATACAAATATTACCGATAGTTCGAGATCTTATATGCATCTTTTATCCACGTTTTTAAAGGATTGTTGGAAGATTTTAATTTGACAAAAGATGCGATTCTGAAACTAATTTATTCCCTCTATTGAAAGGAGGGTCTTACGAAAAGTGAGCTAGCGTTGTTTGTTCGTCCAATAGGAAAGCAGATGAACTAAATTCTCACAATATCTCTCCAGGGATAAGTTTGATCGAATGTTTTCGGGGTAGAAGAACTTGAATCTGGCATCAGTTTATTGGTGCAACGAGCACTGTTTCAGGAAAATTAAGCACTACTTGCATATCCTTTAGGAAATATTATGGGGAAAATATTGGCTAAATTATAAGGGTGAGCGAGGATGCTCCCGTGCTGTATAAAATTGATGCTAGTGATTGATTTCCATTTTTTTTTCTAATACTTTATTTAGGTCAAAGAATTGTTCTCAGGTTCGGATTATGCGATTTTCCTTCTTCCAGTAAAGATAATCGTAAAGTGAGGATACGTTATAAATGACTGGTCTAGCGCGATATATGTGTGATGCCGATACGATGTGTTTCACATCAATTGATAAATTGAATTTTGTCTGTAAATTTTGCTCTCGAAATAGACATCAGCTACGTGAAAATGTCATAGCTATATTTAGAACGGCGTGAAATCGCATTTGACGACTCCATCAGCAGTATTATTTATGTCAACACGCACCTACACATAGGTTTTGTCTGAATATCCAAAGTCTTACTGTTGTATTTGTAGGGCTTCTTGATTATGGAGTGTTTTTAATTGTTGACTTGAAATAAGTAATATGAAGAGGTATATATATATATATATAAGTGGAGTCACATCTTTCAGTATTAGCAGAAAGTAACTAAATATTATTTAAGTAGATGCTAGATTCTGTTCTGTAGATATCTGAAGGTGAGTTATCAAGTATTTTGTCAATATTGCATTTTAGATACCATTAACAAATAATTTGATAGTAATTTAACGTTAACTTTATTTTTAAAGTTACGGCTATATTGCCACCTCTATCCGAATATTGAGTGAGATGATGAAATTGAAGACATGACGCGAATAGTGAGCAAGAAAAGTTTGGTTTGGAATCTCTTATCGCTAAGCAGATTTATACATACAAATGACCCCGGTCATGAATGGTGCCTCGGAGGAGTATCGACAAACGCTTCAGGTTGGAGTGACCAACAAGAAAACTTTTTATGGTGTAGATCTAGTCAAAATCAAGAATGAGAGCGAGACTCATAGTGAAACAACGAATCGGAAGTTTCAGCATCTTTTATTGGATATTTTGATTCGATTTTAGACTTGGGATCGAATTTTACTAGCAAAAGCATTGAGTATTCAATAGTTTGGGTCGTGATAACATCTGATATCAAATATGTAGTTTTAGTTCATATTTGATCTCAAAATAACCATATTTTTCAGATGTAATAGAATATGGTACTAACAGAAATGTAGCCAGAGACTTTAAATATCAAAAACGATTTTGTGTTTTCTATCAATGCTGTATGAAAATTAGAAGAAAACCTACGTTATTGATAATGACACCTAGGGTTAACATCAGATCACTCAATTTGTTAGCTAATATGATTTGTGGAGTTCACGTTTAGGCGAACAGGATGTTTTCGTAACCACGTTTCCTAGAGAAAAGGTGTTTGAATTTGAAATTTGACAACGGTTGACACAAAATATTGACAATACTCAGTTTGCTGTTAGTGGCTCATCGGAAATCTTTTAATTATAAATCAATTAAATCAGTTCCGTGAAAGTGATTTGCTAAAGAAGTCAAGGATTACTGCTCTCTCCAAAAGGATACAACTTTTTATTCCGTATATCGTTTTTTCTTGAGGAGGTATGGTTTGTTACTCGCTCGTTGCAGAATTACTTAAGCAGCTTCAATACATCCGATAGAGGTTTTTTGATTTGAGAGAGCATGTCAACATGGTGAGCGCGACTCAGTCTATGTTTTGAAAGAGTACTCTTATTACGAGAGGGTAATTTCTCAGAGCTTTTTTTAACGTATTGAACTTTCCATAACTGTTCTATTTCTCAACCGGTCAAATTTCTTAATGCTAATAATTCAGCTAATTAAATACTCTCGATGTCCATCGCTTCCAAAAAATGATCTTTTTAATGATGACACGTCAAACAGTTTAATGTTTTTGTGTCTGTTATTCTAAAAAGAAATGCTCTCTTTGCTGAAAGGAGAGTCATATACTCAGCGGCCTATCCCCTTATATTATCATTTTCTCAAGATAGAATCCAAATCTGCAATCAGCTTTTCCTATTTATAATAGGTATTAGTGTATTTCTGTTTCTTTTATTATCATCTAGAATAATGGAACTGAATGAAAAGGTTATAGTAGTGGTCGATAAAAGATACATAGGCACTTCTTCAGTTGCACTTCTCTAGGAAATAGAAAAAAAAAGAACAGGCAAATACCTATTGTACATAATAGAATTATGAGCTTATTGTAAGAATTAATGTAAAGTTTCAGCAACTATGATTTTTCGTGTGGTCTTATCTGGTGTTGCCAGATTTAACATCTAATTTTTCGGCATGGGGAGAGAGATATTTCAATAATTAGGATCCTAAACAAAGTAATTGACGAAAGTGGGAGGGAATTCAGCAATTCTCATTTTCTGGTACCAATTCTAATTCATGAGATCTCTCAAGAGTTGTAAATTTATGCATTTGATACTCACCGATATATAAAACCAACGTTTTGTATCCTGTAGATATCAACAGGGCCAAATTATTTGTTAAAATATAAATTCTATGCAATTCTATTTAATCGTCTATGGACATCTACTAAAGAATAAAGTATTCCCATGTTAGCCAATTTTAAAAAAATAATCATAAAAACTTCATCGGGTAAATCATTCAATTGATTTCATATTTTAAGAGTGGGGCTGGATTGTTAGCAAACGTGCCTCATTGTAGATATTTTCAAAGATAATTCGTTACACTTTTTCAAGACACTATTTTACTTTTATTAACTGATGAGAGGATGTGTCCGAACTCTTTAAAAGTTTTTGAACTCATATTTCGGCTATAAGTAGGCTCCAGTGATATAAAAGAAAATTTTATTCTATAGACTGGTGTTGATCGTACAATGATCATTTGGGATGCAAATTCTGATCATTGTAAACAACATTTGCATCATGTTCTGATGATATGACATTAAAAATAAATAGCAATGAAAGTAACCACACTCGACTGTATTTCTTATTTTTATTTAGATCTGGAGTATGTCAAAATAAACACCTGTTCATAATTTACAAGCACATAATAAAGAAATTTATTCAATTAAATGGAGTCCAACTGGTCCAGGAATAATGAATCCAAATGCAACATTACTTTTAGCAAGGTATTATTTAACGACAAATTCTTTTTTTATATCTTTAAATTTTACGTATATATAGCGCATCATTTGATTCAACTGTAGGTTTATGGGATGTTGAAAGTGGTGTTTGTCAAAATATACTTGCAAAACATTCAGAACCTGTTTATTCAGTTGCTTTCAGTCCAGATAGTGGTTTATTAGCAACTGGTTCATTTGATAAAGCGATTTATATTTGGGATATGGCAGTAAATAATTTCAAATCATAGTTGATAGTTATGATCACCTTTTTAGCGAGGAGTAAGTGTTCATAGTTATCGAGGTACTTGTGTCGGTGCAAATGCTTCCAACGGAACAGTAAGTTTTAATGGGTCGATAAAAAAGAATTCTTTCTTTAGGTCAATGTGTTGTCGTTTTGTTTTTGTTTACTTGTACAAAAAACAAAATATCCGTATTGTTGTTATCTGTTGTTCTGATCATCATCATCCCTCCTATCAACGATGATCTCATAGAATTTTATTCATCTTCTTGCACATGTGTATTTTGCTTATTTCTTGTCTTTCTCGAAAAAATTCAAAGCAGTGATATGTATGCGATGATGATGAACTCGTGTTCCATTATAAATATTTCATACGAGCATACACAGATGACGACAAACAGACACAGAAAAACAAAAATCTGATGTGAACTCTGTAATAATCAATATAAAAGAATCGCTTATTCCTCTTGGTTAGATCAATATTCTAGCACGTAAAAACAACTAAGCTTTACTGTTTAACACGTCAGAGATATCAGATTTAATCATAAGAGAGTTTTTGTTTGTCAATTTTAATTCTCATATATAAAATGTCTAAAATCATGGCTTTTCACCCTAGTTACACCTACATGATGCGTTATGAGACTATTTATTTGATATAGAACTGAGCCTCATTCTCACAAAAGTGTGATGGTATCGACAGGACTGCATTATTTCATATTGGCACTTTTCAAGTAAATTTTTAACATCGATTCGTTTTTTTATTCTATGTCCTGCTCTTAATTCATTAGTTTATTGATAGTTCGAGCTAAATGTCAATCATGTGATGGCCTGACTGAATATGCTTCATGTTCGACGCATTCTGCGTGTGCCTGTTTCCGTATGATTGCTTCTCCTAACTCAAGCATTTGTGTCGACCAATTTCTGCTGTCTTGTTCTGAGTTAGTTCAATGTGAAGGCTTAAAGAATACTTGTAATGAATTCGAGCATGTGTGTATTTACCATTCTCGATGTCATGACTCTCCTATTTGTTATCCGGTACCGAGTTTCAATGAACAATTCTGTCCGCCAATAAGTAAGAGCAACACAACAGAAACGACGAGGGTATGGGGCGTGGGTGCCAGTGAGGATATGAGTATAAGTGTGGGTGTGAGTCTCCGCTACCCAATCACCTACATCCACACCCACACCCTCAAGTGTTGAAATGGTATGGGAAAAGTGCTATGGTATTGTCAACCATCAACCAGTATTTTTCTTCAGCAAAACCCGAATTTGAATAGTGTTACACTATTTCCAAGCAACTTCTCAATTAATATTTATGTTCTAACTTTCTGATCCTTACAGCACCCACAGGTGTTGAGATGTTGAGGTGCCAGGGTGCTGGGTGCCATCACTTACCCCCTTGGTTTCATTGCACCGATGGATGATTTAGTAGGTGCTGATCTTTTATATCATACATTGATAAGAAAAAAATGATCTGAAAAACAAAGTAGATAGTTTGTAGAGAAATACATTTTCTGTCCGACAAGCTCAGAATCAGATCTCAAGACAATGATCAAGTCTCCGAAAGGCAGAAAACAAAAGTTGGCCATTCTTTATAGAGCATCAGTTAATTTTAAAAAATTGAGTTATTACTACAAACTTTGGGAAACACTAAATTCTATAGCACGCTTTATGGTGCCAAAAATCAGACTAATTCATGATTTTACACAAATGATCTATAATAATGAATATGGAACAACGCTGTAGGTACAACTACAACTACAACTACAACTACAACTACAACTACAACTACAACTACAACTACAACTACAACTACGACTACAACTACAACTACAACTACAACTACAACTACGACTACGACTACAACTACGACTACAACAACTATTCAAAAAGGAGGTAAGCTTTTTAGATCATTATTCTCAATCATCCTCAATTCTTATTTCGAATCGAACACCTGTGGTTATTTTTATGCTATGTCACTATGTGGATATCTAAAGTTTAACTTGATGAATTTAGTTATTTTATATTATGAGCAGTTTGACTATCAACATAAGAACAACTGAAGATTTTTCAATTTTCATGTATTATTTAACTATTCTCGGGATAATCGAAATTAGCTTTGCTTTATTGGCATGTTCACATCAATGGGAACTTAACATGATTATGATCTCGATCGATGAGGTCATTTGGTTACTGACGGTTTTATGAGTCATATGAGTTACGAGCTGACTTTCGTCAAAATGAGAAATTTTTTTTTCGAAATTTTTTAACTCTCTTGTAAGCGAAACTGCAAGGTATTAGAAGAAATCCCCGATTGATCGCAAAAAGTAATGCAGCGTTAATGAATTCTCTTGCTACTGCATCAATGAAATAGTTACTGAGATTAGATCAAATATTTACAAATTGAAGAAAGATACAACCACAAACTTCCAAATTCATAAAACAAAAGACTACAAGCTTCTTTAACTAGAAGCTCAAAGGAGGTTTTAGTTTATAGATGTCTACAAAAGGGAAAAAATGATTCGCATCACGTAGCCTCAGAATTGAAGACCACTTTTCGCCAGATTCGAAGAGAACTACAATTAAGTATTGTTAAATTGAGAAAAACATAAAAATTAAGTTCTTTCAACTTTTGGAAACCTTTTCCTAGTTATGATTATAGTATTGCAGTCCTATCCAGCAATAGATGAAATCAGATTATATGCGGATAAAATTATCAACTCCTACACTATTCTTCTGTTCTTCAAATCGAAATCTT